TTTTTTCTTGTTGACGTTAGAAGGATGAATCAATCAATCTCGATAATCGCTAACGGAGTCTCCACAGGGCGAGCAGCATGATGTTGGGCCGCCCGCCCATGATCCAAGATTCGGCGGTCCCTCTTCCAGACGCCATCGATGATGAGGCCCTCGATCAACAGAACCTAGTTTCCATATTGCCACCCACAGCCTTATCAAGAACAGAATTCTACGTGCGCACGTTGCAGCTGTATAAAATCTTAAGGCAAATCCTGGCAAGGATCTTTGCGCCCTGGGAAGGTAGACAGGAGAATCTAGCTGAGCAGCCTCAGGCTGAAAGCAGCCAAGCTAGAAATGTGATGGAGCTAGAAGTAGAGCTACTGGCTTTTAAGTCAGACCTTCCGGCGCAACTGAACTGGCAAAATGGAGAAATACCGGCCAATACCAGTAAGCAATATTCGCGAGAAAGTTGCTTGCTAAGAGCGAGGTGGGTGACTTGCGAACAATTACCTGACTTCGCTAATTCCGAGTCTCTTTGTCAGATTTTTGCAGTATAGAATTCTTCTACTGCGCCCAACATTGATCAGATTCTGCCGGCAGATTCGAGTCTCGCATGCTGTTACTCTGCCGGAAGCGTCTTCCTCAGAGTTGCCGAGCGAGATATTTATGGATTTCAGGCTCAGCTGCTCTATTAATTGCGTCAAGGCGGCCATCGAGCTGATACATCTAATGAATGATACTTCGACGACTGAGCTGGCTAGTGTCTGGTGGTACAGTGTATTTTGTAAATACCTCTTACGAGATTATTTATCACCACAGAAGGAGTCCTGCTGACTGACTTCACTGCCTCAGATACCTTTTCCGCCGGGATCGTTCTTGCCCTAGCTCGGACATGCTCCGCTATCAAAGCCAAGTTTGCAGAGTCGAGTCTTAAAGATTCTTGGAAAAGCTGCTCTGAGTGCCTAGAAAAGATGAGCTCCCTTACTAAATCTGCTGAGATCGGCGGCCAGAGTCTCAACAAGGTTTTGTTCCTCCTTATGCAGGCTCAGCATGATCCATCTATCATCAACCCAGCCGCCGGTCAAGAACACAGATCACAGCCCCAAAGCCAGGATATTCATTGCGAAGCTTCAGTGACTGACTTACCTGTGCCTCCTGCGATGGACTTTGGGGAAGCTCTTGGCCTGGATGACGAACAGCGCTTTCTCGGCATGCCGGGCTCGGACATTTTCACCTATCTGCTGGGAGAATCAGGTCTAGCTGGGTCAATGAATGAAACGATGGGTGACGAGCTTTGGCCTACGGCACCTCTGTTTCTGTGAAATCGAGACAGATACCAACATCAGGGTGGGAAGCTTTAAAGGACGCCTCGAGGATACATATTAGCCTTTAGAGGCTGTCACATGGAATGATATGGATGTTCTCTAAGGGCCATCAGAGTATATGACTCTGAAAGAGACGCTTCTTATACCGGATAAGCCTAACACTTATGCAATGCGTGCTTGTCTGAGCACCACAAACCCAGATCCGAGAGTCGTCATGTACAAGGATGAATAACCAATTAGACGAAGAGCCTTGGTTTCATGTATGATGAGCTTGTCTTCTTGTATATCACCCATGAAAGTAGACCACGAAAAGCAATCTGAAGCCGGCCTTTCTCCGATCTATTACACGATGAACGGTTTTATCATCCAAGCCACTTAAGTAGCGTGTCCGTAAGTAATTTGTAAGTAAGATTCCTGCTTCGACTACCTAAAAGTGCAACAAATTATGAATATTCTACGTACTTAATGGTCCTCTGGTCCTGTTGTTTGACTGCATGATCGATATTCAGCTTTATTTGAAATGTCTGTCGGACCTTGCGCCCTGCAGTCAGCTTGCTGTGCGTAGCACTGAGTAATTAGCTTGATTGTCCTGTACTGTACGTATCCGATACCTTGAATACCGACCACGGGCCATCAGTCCACAGGCCGGCATCTTCTTCTACCCACCCGGTATTACCAGCCGATACGCCATCCGGTATTTTCCTTTCTTGGAAGCGCACTGATGCCGAGCGACTCATAGAATGCTTGAAAATGAACCACGACTCAAGCATAAGCCATTCTTTGCCTCTATTCAACAATGTGCTCGCTATGCCTAAGACGAGGTATAAGAGAGGACAGTCCTCCTCATCGAACTCAGTCTTGTTTGTCCAACATTGTATCATTCTATCTCTCCACTACTGCCTGTTCCTTCTATCCTTTGACCACTGACCGTTGACCCTCTCGTTGTGCACCATGTCCGAGACCATTGAGACGGATGTCTTCATCTCTGGCGGTGGCCCCGCGGGTCTGCTCATTGCTTACTCACTGGCACTACAGGGCGTGGATTCTCTACTCGTCGGTAAAGCACTCCTTACCCTTTCTTCTGTCACAGACATGGCCTAACAATAATGGAAAAGAACAACATGACAAGGCCCACCAAGCGATGTATGGCCGTGCAACAACTCTCTACCCTCGTACCCTCGAGATGTTCGATCAGCTGGGTCTTCTCGACGAACTGAATCAAATCGGTTATGTTGCGCGCAACAGCGTCACCTATCACAAGGGCAAGCGCGTTACCTCCCGAGGATGGCACATCATGTTCCAGCGCACGTATGGTACCTTTCTTGACTACTGCCTCAACATCCGCCAGAAATACTCCGAAGACGTGATTCGGGGTGCTTATGAGAGCCTCGGATGTAAGCCTTATATTGGATGGAAACTGGATAATTTCGTGGTTGACGACGCTGCGAAGGATGATTATAAAGTGACGGCGAATGTCACCGAGGTCAGCTCGGGCAAGAGCCTGACGGTGAAAAGGTAACTGGCCACTTGGGCCGAACAAACGAGCACCGATCCCGATTAACATCTGCCAGCAAATACATCGTCGGTGCCGATGGCGGTCATTCCCTTGTGCGTCGCCTCGCCAAAATCCCCTTCGAAGGCGATCAGACCGTGTTCAAGTGGATTCGCATTGATGGCTACTTCAAGACCAACATGCCTGATGCCGATGTGGGCTTCGCTTCGATCGAATCCGAGGCCCACGGCAACGTACTCTGGGTCCAGCTGGATCATGGCGTCAAGCGTATTGGCTTCGCGATGACGGCGGAGATGCTCGCCAAATACGGCGACAGCTTCACTCTCGAAGACGCCAAGGCGGAGGCCGTCAGAGCTATGGCGCCTTTTTCACTGGATATCGAATCTGTCGAGTGGTGGACCCTGTACGGGTATGATCATGTCTCGTCTACGCTTTTCAAGTTGCGCAGCCCACTAACCTTCTGCAGTATTGGCCAGCGAGTGGCAGATCAATTCTTCAACAACGACCGAGTCTTGCTGGCCGGCGACGCGTGCCACACGCACTCGTCCGGTGCTGCTCAGGGTATGAACACGGGCATTCATGACGCCGTGAACCTGTCTTGGAAACTGGCCGGCGTTGTCAAGGGCTGGTACGGCGCCGACATGCTGCAGAGCTACGACACGGAGCGTCGCCCGGCCGCACAGTACCTGATTGAGCTCGATAAAGCCTTCTCGGCGACCATCTCCGGCCAAGTCCCGGACAAGTACAAAGGGCACTGCACAGACGCCAACGAGCTGTTCACCAAGCTCTTCGATGAGACCATCCATTTCAACATCGGCCTCGGGATCCACTACGACGAGAACCTGATCAACAAGCCCCCGTCGGCGACCATGAACAATGCGGGCTGGAGAGCTCCCGACGCTCTAGTCTATGCCCCCGGCTCGCGCCTCCCCACCCGTCTCTTTCACCTGACCAAGAACACCGGCGTCTGGTCCATCCTGGTCTTCGCTGGACAGCCCGAAAGGACGAAGGCGACCCTCAAGGCGGCCGTGGAGGATCTGGGCAAGCTTCGCGTGGCATTGCCCCGTGGGGCCGTTCGTCTCTTGACCCTGGTCTCGCAGGCTTGCAGCGGAGGTGACCATGTCTTTGAGACTCCGAGAGCGGGCAGGCTGTACTACGACGCAGAACGGTCCGCTCATACCGCCTACACCATCTCCGACTATAATGGCGGTCTGGTGGTGGTGCGCCCGGACGGCATTCTGGGCTTCGCGACTCACTTGGATGATGTAGAGGGTGTTGCCGAGTACTTCAGGGGCTTTATGAAGTACTGAGTGTGTGTATTGGGGGAGCAGTGTCTTGTTTATTTGGGTGTTTTTTTCTTTTGTTAAAGAAAGAGGATTGAAGCGATGTTATGTTTTAGACACAGAGAGACAATTAGACATAGAAATGGTAGAAGTTCTTTTCTACTCATAGTTAGGATGTGCCCTAAGTCACTAGACCGGCACGTTCATCGCTACCCTAAAAGGTTAATCAGGTTGGGTTCAAATGATCGACCATCATCTGTAACTAGATTAGGCCTAGCTTAAGCGGCACTGCATTCCGTCGGGGTGAGCTTGAGCCTTAAGCAGTAGAAATCAAGTTTACAACGCTCTTGGAATATTTGAGATGAGATCATATTTGATGAAGGGTAGTCGAGTGAATCACCGCTTTATCTCTACCTAGTACTTCTTAGTTTCAGAAAGTAGTTTAGAAGACAAAATAATAGTTTGTAAGCATATTTATGAGTACATAGGTAACATTAACAAGACTATATTGGAGAGCTGCTAAGAAGGCGGCACAAGGTTGGGTTTCGAACCTTGAACCGATATTAATAATATGGGGAAGCCTTATTAGCTGACTAGGGATGGGCAATACTGCCGACGGTTGCCGCCCATCGGACAGTGGCGATCGCCGGGAAAAAGCGATAAAAGCGATAAACCGAGTGGGGAATTTGCCCCCCCCCTTCTCCTTACCCCGATAAGACCCCATCATCTCTTCATACAACAGCTATTACTAACTAACTTGCTGTCTCTCACATCGTTGATCGTTAACTTACTCCTTTCTACTATATTGTACGATCTTTGTATTCTTCAAAGCCTCCCTTGTATCTTGGTTCCTCCCTCGACACTATTCCACTACTCCTACTTCATGCCAGCGTTGAGTTAGTTACCCCGCATCAACGCTGGTTCCGAGTGGCGGTTTCTCCACCCTCTAGGAAAATCGTCGAACAGACACATTTGTTCTGAGTCAATCACAGCCAACGCAGCAAGATGGCTCCTGGAATACTGAGCTCATCACCACCGACGGTGCCATCCAAGGCTGTCTCGCTGGCCCAGCTTACCGAAGATTGGGACGACACTATTCGGTTCTACCTCAACGGCACCAAGGTTGTCCTCGACTCGATCAACCCCGAAACCACATTATTAGAGTACCTTCGTGGGATCGGCCTGACGGGCACAAAGCTAGGATGTGCAGAGGGTGGCTGTGGTGCCTGTACGGTGGTATGTCTTTTGAAGGAGCCCTTGGATCTGGTCATTGCTAAGTTCAATCAATTCAACGTTAGGTGGTTTCCCATATCAACCCCACCACGAAGAAGCTATATCATGCATCCGTGAATGCTTGCCTTGCCCCGTTGATTAGTGTGGATGGAAAGCATGTTGTCACCGTGGAGGGTATCGGCGACGTGAAGAATCCTCACGCGATCCAGCAACGGCTAGCGGTTGGTAATGGTAGTCAGTGTGGGTTTTGCACTCCTGGAATCGTGATGGTACGGCACTTGTTATGAGATTGATGGTGGATAATGAGCTAAAAACGTTGGATATAGAGTCTTTATGCCCTTTTGCGCAACAACTCCGAGCCATCGGAGCATGACGTGGAAGAGGCTTTCGATGGAAACCTCTGTCGATGTACCGGGTACAGACCAATCTTGGATGCAGCTCAAAGCTTCTCTGCACCGAAAGGCTGCGGAATGTCTTCTGAAAACGGAGGATCAGGGTGCTGTATGGAGAAGAAAGGCGGCTCGGGAGGGTGTTGCAAGGAAACCTCCGCCGCCTCGGTCAAGGACGAGAAGATACAGACCTTCACGCCACCTGAGTTCATCGACTATCGGCCGGACACGGAGCTCATCTTCCCACCTCCTCTCCGAAAGCATCAGTTCCGTGCTTTGGCCCTGGGAAACAAAAAGAAGAAGTGGTACCGTCCAGTTACACTGGAGCAGCTCTTGGAAATTAAGGCGGTGCATCCCGACGCTAAGATTATCGGGGGTAGCACGGAGACGCAGATTGAGATTAAGTTCAAGGCTATGAAGTACAGTGCCTCCGTTTATGTCGGCGACATACAGGATCTACGGCAGTATACACTGCGGGACGACTGTCTCGAGCTTGGAGCCAATGTTTCCCTGACCGACCTCGAGAGAATCTGTGACGAAGCGCTTGATCGATACGGAACTGTGCGCGGGCAGCCATTCAACGCCATCAAGAAGCAACTTCGTTACTTTGCTGGAAGACAGATCAGGAATGTTGCTTCTCCTGCAGGTAACTTGGCTACTGCTTCACCAATCTCCGATCTCAATCCAGTATTTGTTGCTACAAGAACTACCCTCATCGCCAAATCACTAGGCCAGACCGTTGAGATACCCATGGATCAATTTTTCAAAGGCTACCGAACTACCGCTCTTCCTCAAGATGCCATTATCGCTGCGTTGCGAATTCCAGTCGCGGCTGAGGAGGGAGAATACATAAGGGCCTATAAACAATCCAAGCGAAAGGACGACGATATTGCCATTGTCAATGCAGCTTTACGTGTCTCCCTTTCGGAGGCACACACCGTCAAAAGTGTGAATCTTGTCTTTGGTGGTCTCGCACCGATGACTGTCTCCGCACGAAACGCGGAGGCGTTTCTGGTTGGCAAGAAATTTACAAGTCCTGCGACACTGGAGGGTACAATGGCAGCTCTGGAACAGGACTTCGACCTGAAGTTTGGGGTTCCTGGTGGAATGGCCACTTACCGCAAGTCTCTTGCCCTGGGTTTCTTCTATCGATACTATCATGATGTCTTATCCAAGATTGAAGTCAAGAGTGCGGATATTGACGAGGACGTCATCGCTGAGATTGAGCGAGCCATTTCTACGGGAGAAAAGGACCACGAAGCTTCCGCGGCGTATCAACAGAAAATTCTTGGAAAAGCCGGTCCCCATTTCTCTGCACTCAAGCAAGCCACGGGAGAGGCCCAGTATACCGATGACATTCCAGCATATCAGAATGAGTTGTATGGTTGCATGGTGCTGTCAACCAAGGCGCACGCCAAGCTCCTCAATGTTGATCCAACCGAGGCCTTGGATATTCCTGGGGTTGTTGACTACGTGGACCACACAGATCTTCCAAATCCAGAAGCCAACTTTTGGGGAGCACCAAATGCCGATGAGCTTTTCTTCGCTGTCGACGAGGTGAACACTGCTGGTCAGCCAATTGGTATGGTACTAGCGACATCCGCCAAAGTTGCGGAGGAGGCTGCTCGAGCGGTCAAAGTGGCATACGAGGATCTGCCAGTGATCCTTTCGATCGAAGAGGCCATCGAGGCGGAATCGTTCTTCGAGCATTACCGTTACATCCAGACTGGCGATGTTGAGAGCGCCTTTGAGAAGGCGGCTCACGTATTTACGGGCGACTCGAAGATGGGCGGACAGGAGCATTTCTACCTGGAGACGCAGGCTTGCGTCGCCATACCCAAGAACGAAGATGGAGAGATGGAGGTCTGGAGTGGGACCCAAAATCCGACGGAAACGTAAGTCGTGCTGCGTTGTTATTTCTTTCAGACCCGATGTTGATGCTGCTGCAGACAAACATATGTCGCCCAAGTTACTGGGGTATCAGCCAATAAGATTGTGTCTCGGGTGAAGCGTCTCGGCGGCGGCTTCGGTGGAAAGGAAACTCGATCAATCCAGCTGGCTGGTATCTGCGCAACGGCTGCTGCGAAGCTGAAGCGCCCAGTACGGTGCATGCTGAACCGCGATGAAGACATCATCACCTCGGGTCAGCGCCATCCCTTCTACTGTCGCTGGAAGGTAGCCGTTGACGGAGAGGGCAAACTCCTTGCCCTTGACGCGGATGTCTACGCCAACGGCGGCCACACACAAGATCTCTCCGGCGCAGTCGTAGAGAGAAGTCTTTCACACATCGACGGTGTATACCGTTTCCCGAATGTCTACGTTCGGGGCCACATTTGCAAGACCAACACGGTCTCCAATACCGCATTTCGCGGTTTCGGTGGTCCGCAGGGCATGTTCTTTGCTGAGAGCATCATGGAAGAGGTTGCGGATCACCTGAACATCCCCGTGGAAGATTTCCGGCTCCAGAACATGTACAAATCCGGCGACAAGACACACTACAACCAAGAGCTCAAAGACTGGCACGTGCCATTGATGTACAACCAGGTCCTTGAGGAGAGCTCTTACGCCGAACGCCGAAAGGCCGTGACCAAGTACAACAAGGAACACAAATGGTCGAAGCGCGGCATGGCGATCATCCCCACCAAGTTCGGTATCTCCTTCACGGCACTATTCCTGAACCAGGCCGGCGCTCTGGTCCACATCTACCACGACGGCAGCGTACTCGTCGCCCACGGTGGCGTGGAGATGGGCCAGGGGCTGCACACGAAGATGACGATGATCGCGGCCGAAGCGCTGGGCGTGCCGCAATCCAGCGTCTTCATCTCCGAGACCGCGACCAACACGGTGGCCAACACCTCGTCGACCGCCGCCTCGGCCAGCTCGGACCTGAACGGCTACGCCATCTTCAACGCGTGCGAGCAGCTCAACGAGCGCCTCCGGCCCTACCGCGCGAACATGCCCGGGGCGACGATGAAGGAGCTCGCGCACGCCGCGTACTTCGACCGCGTCAACCTCTCGGCGCAGGGCTACTACCGCACCCCGGACATCGGCTACGTCTGGGGCCAGAACACGGGCCAGATGTTCTTCTACTTCACGCAGGGCGTCACCGCCGCCGAGGTGCAGCTCGATACCCTGACGGGCGACTGGACCCCGCTGCGCGCCGACATCAAGATGGACGTCGGCCGCACCATCAACCCGGCCATTGACTACGGCCAGATCGAGGGCGCCTTCATCCAGGGCCAGGGCCTGTTCACCACCGAGGAGAGCCTGTGGCACCGCGCCTCGGGCCAGATCTTCACCCGCGGCCCCGGCAACTACAAGATCCCGGGCTTCCGGGACATCCCCCAGGTGTTCAACGTCAGCCTCCTCAAGGACGTCGAGTGGGAGAATCTGCGCACCATCCAGCGCTCCCGCGGCGTCGGCGAACCCCCCTTGTTCATGGGCAGCGCCGTCTTCTTCGCCATCCGCGACGCCCTCAAGGCCGCCCGCCGCCAGTGGAACGTCCAGACCGTCCTTCGGTTGGAGAGTCCGGCGACGCCCGAGCGGATCCGCGTGAGCTGTGCGGATCCGATCATCGAGAGGGCGCGCGTGGTGCCGCAGCCGGGCGAGAAGAGCTTCTTCGTGGCTATCTAGTTGGAGCCTCGCAATTGGGTATGGGCTTTTTGGAAGCGGGGGGGGGGGGGGTTTATATTTCATGAATCTGACGACACGCACATACCGGCATCTAGCAATTTATTCACCTAGCAATGCATCATTTCGAAAATCTTTCGATTCTGCAATGTAGAATACACTATCGTAGCCACGTTCTACGGGTATATCACGCGAAGCTTCAACAAGAGGTAAGGAGACGGCAGCGCTGAAAGTGGAGAAATCACCCGCCGGAAAACCGCTGACAAGACACAAAGTAAAAGAGAAAAGAAAAAGAAAAGGCTCAGCAACTAAACTATCACCTCGCCCCGCCCTCACGGAGCGAGAAGAATTTGATTTCGAAAGGAAGTGGAGAAAGGAGTTCAATGCTTCTCCATCTCATACTCCACGTAACTGCTGCCCCGCAGATCCGACACCCCGTCCACACGTAAGGCGTTCCTCTGGCCTGCGAACCCGACCTTCTCATCCGGGTACACCCCTAGACCTGCAGTTGTTGTAGTATTAGTCGATGCGGTAGTGGTACTCATGGCGGCGGCCCCCCTCCCCGTCTGCGTCGCGACCTCGTACCGCGGCGCAGCAGCAGCGGCGTCATCATCACTGACATCGAGATCGAAGCGCTGCTGCTGATGCTGTCGCGGCATGCTGGTCAAGGGCACATCAATGAACCCTGCATCACCGGGACCGGAACTGGGGCCGAGACGGGGATCCGGCCGGGAGGAGACGGGGGCGGGCCCGCCCTCGCCGCGGGTCTTGTCCTTCTTAGCAAATAAAATCAAGGCGCGGGTGACGCCGAAGAGGGCGTTGACGACCCAGACCAGGAGGATGAAGGCGGCGATGATGGTCTCGAGGCGGAGGCCCTTCTCAAAGGCGGCGATGACCTTGTCGACGACCTCGGTGATCTTGTTGGAGGTCTTGTCGCCGGCCTCGGCGAGGAAGCTGTCGTCATCCGAGGCAGTGCCGTTGATGGAGGCGGCGGCGCCACGGGAGAAGACGTCCTCCGGGAACAGGGGGAAGTCGACGTGGGCGTGGTCGTGGACCCAGGTGAGGCCCTTCTGGACGCTGGCGACTTTCAGGCCGATCAGACAGTTGAACACCTCGAGGAGCGGGTCGTAGAGGATGGTGTCGCCGAAGGTGCCGTTCAGCACGTCGATGGTCTTGTCGACGAAGGTGTTGAGCGTGTCGTTCAGCGCGGTGGTGCTGGTGTTCACCCACCCCAGCACGTTGGTGTTGATCTGCGAGTCGACGTGCAGGATCGCCGTGTTGGTGTCGTTGGCCCACTCCGCCGAGCTGTTGGCCAGCGCCGCCACGACCTTGTCGGCGAACTGGCCCACTTCCTCGGAGAGCTCGGGCACGGTACGCTTGACGGCGGACAGGAGCACGTACTGGCACAGGCACGAGAGGAGCCCCGCCAGCGCCAGGCACAGCACGAACAGCGCCGCGGGCGTCGTCGCGTACGCGATCGCCCACCGCACCAGGATCTGCGCGCGGCTGTTGCTGAACCGGCTGGCCGCTTTGATCCCCGCCGCCGCCGTGTACGGCCGCGACACGATGTACACCACGTCCATCGGGTCGTGAGCCTCCTTGCGCACCAACTGCGAGCGTTCCTTCATGTGCCGCCAGCGCCGGATCTCCTGCCACGCCATGGGGACGCAGGCCAGGATGGCGGCGATGACGAGGATGGCGATGAAAATCTTCCGCGCCGTGAGCGCGGCATCGGTGGCGCCCTCGAAGAAGGCGTTGATGCCGTCGTTCGAGTCGCAGAAGGTGAGTTTCTTCTTCGCCGGCACCGAGAGCGCCGACGCGTTGAAGCTGTAGTTCCCGAGGGAGCCGTTGACCAGCTTCTTGACTTCCTCAAATGGGAAGCGAAGCACGTTCTCGGTGAAGTTGCTGACTTCGTCGAAGTTGGGGATCGAGCTGTTCAGCTTGTCGAGACTGGCGTCGATGGACGAAGGGAGGTGGGCGTTTTCGAGGCTGTTGATGGAGTCCGTGAGGTTCAGGGTCGGGACGCTCGTGCCGACTGCACTGAGGACGGTGTTGACCTTTTCGAGGAAGCTGTTCAGCGTGTCCTCGAACGTGTCGACGGTCTTGCCGATGTCTTCGCCGACGGTCTTGATCGTTGAGTTGAGGAAATCGGCGGCGTCTTCCAGGACGCTGACTCCGATCTCGACAGCGCCGCGCACGACCAGCGTGAACAGGCAGAGATAGGTCTGATACATGACCTTGATGAAGAAAATGACCAGCTCTTCCACGACCGTTAGCGACAGCGTCAGCACGCTTTCCAGCCCGTCGATGGCTGCGTTGACCGTCTTCACCGCCACCTCGTTGACCCCCTGTGCTAGATAATGCGGCATGGAGGCCATCGTGCTGCCCATGGTTTCCACGGATGTACATGCCGACAGTGCTTCACTCTTGGCCTTGGCCATGTCGCTCTCTATGCTCGATACGGCCATCAAGACTCTGACCAAGACTAAGAGCAGCAAGATGGTCCATCGGTTGATCCATGACTGTGACAAGCGGGCGCGTAGCCCCAGGTAGGGTGTGATGCCGTCCGGATGAAGTGGGATAATCCGACCAGAGCCTCCACAAGGATCATGGGCGCCGTAAGGTGGCAGTAGGGGGAATATATTTCGTGCAGGTCCGAAGATTCCCATAATGGCGATCGACTGGGAGTCTTGCCGAAAGTGCTCGTTTGACTGCAGACACAGAATATGACTGCCAATGGAATCACAAGCAAGTCTAGTATGCACCAAAGGGGAATGAAAATAACAGAGAACAGTAAGAAAGTAAGAACAAGATAATCCTGAACCAGCAGCGAGTTATCTCAAAAGCCCACAAGCAAGTCTATGATGCAGTGTCTAGTATTGTCGTGGTAATGGTTAAACAAAGGGAATTATCGTATCATTTAAGAGACCAAGAGAATGCAGTGTCAATAAGAGAAAAGGATTAACACAAGAAAAAGTCCATCATTCAAGAGAGCGCAAAACAATGGAGACCCAAACAGGGGGAACCAGGCGGGCAGTCATTGTATAATATATGGGTCTTTTCTTTCCACCAGGAGGGCTCTGCGGGATAAACACATTCATGGCGCTGCGAAAGTGAGACAAAGATAGTAAGTCATGATTGTTTGGGGCTCCATCGCCGCGCCAAAGGAGGCTACCACTCAGGACAGCTGTACGGAGATCGCAACAAAGACTAAAGGTCTGAGGGGGATGAGCAGCTGATTTCGAAATCTTCTCCCTTCTTTCTTAAGGTAGCTTGGTTTCATCTGGCGCAGAGATCGCTCCCGTGCAGACAAGAAGATGGACTAGTTGATCTGATGGGTTTCTGCAGCAGTGGCCCGGCCGAAGATAGTAACGGCGCTTAACACTTCAGCCCAGCGCAAGCGCTCTGAGCCACTCATTTTGATCAGTCTTGGAGGAGAATCAACCGGGAGCCCCACAGCGATCGGAAGACTAATCTAGCCATGCCATCGTGTTTATGGTCTTTTCTATCCGGGGTTGTTTGGTGTTGAACCGAGACGGCGCTTCCTGGGCTGTGGTGTTGTAGGCAGCAGGCAACGGGGGGTTTCTGTCATTTGACTATTCCTAGAGGCATGTGAAACTGAGCACCTTGAAACTGGATGCTTAGGATATTGAGGACTCAGGTATCGATAAATGTCTTGGTCATTGACTCAGGTGATGGTATAAGTCTTTGCTTTTCATAAAAGTGTAGGTAGTTGACTGAGACCGGGAATCAGCCTGCGCCAGAAAACAGAGACAAGACTAGCGGCACGTGATGGCAGGCTCTTCACTACGTGCTTCAAACTGCATCAGGAGTTTGTCTTTTCTTCTCTTGCTGATAGACATGATCTTACTTATGCGCGTCGTACTTGATTTGCTAGAATATAAACCATGGAGACATGGACTCATTCGATATCATCTTCAAAAAGATAGCCACTGCCACAGAATCTACTTCGATATAAAGGAGCCATGTTTGCATTGAGTACATCGCTTAGTCCTGAGATAATTTGAACTAAGACAGTGAACAAAGACAGTTCTCATAGCGTAGTAGCTTGGAATTCTCTGGGACATACAATCAAGACATAGTTTCGCAGCGCATTTCAGTATCTCTAGTGTAGTGAAGATGTCAGGGCTCATGGCAGCCCCGTAAGGGACCCGCATGGTAGTGCAGTGAATCAATGAAAAAGGTCCCTGAGCAACACTTCTGTATGGCGGTCTTCTTTCTCTCGTGCGTAAGTCCATCAAAGCTGTCGGTCAACAAACCACCGGCAACAAGTATATCGAACTGGTTACTTGTGGTGTGAAGCTGAAGCAACCTCACCGGTATAACATCACACTTGAATCTACTAGACATATTAGCACTGACAAAGGACAGAAGTCAAAAGCGAAGTCAAAAAGAGAGAAAGGCTCGCCAAAAGATTGCGCACCTAACCAGCCTCACTTATCCTTGCCCTTTCATATCGTGCAGACCCAATGTGATATCAAGATGGCCAAGAGTCCTCGAGGCAACAAGCAGAGATCAGTAGCAGCAGTAGCAGGCTCAGGCGAGAAAGCCGGATCTTCCAGCTTCCTGGCCGAGCTTGACCACACACTGGAGAGCCGGCCAGTCAGTTGGTTACAGGCCGTGGAGTCTCTCAGCCAGAATCCATCAACCGAACCGCCAAGTCACGGGATCACCAAGTCGATCGAACAGACAACCATTCACCACAACACAGATCAGAAAGATAACAACACAGCGGGACGTGACGAAAGCAACACCGCCTTTGACAACGATATCTTTGATTTCGAAAGCAGTGGTGCCAGTACGTTCTTCCTGTACACAACCATCACTCCATCCCCCCACCCCCCATCCCCCTCTCACCTCTACTTTCATTCATACCCAGTACGATGGGTCGTCCAGCCAAACTAATGGAGTCCGTTGGACGACCTACAGGCAGTCAAGAAGATGTCTCAGTAGACAGGAGATCTCGCACTGAGGCGATTGACTTGCTCCGCGCGAGAACAGCCACTCGTTCGACTCCCACTTCGAGCCCGACCCCGACGCAGACCCCTTCGACACCTGTTGTGACGGTGGTTGATACTACACCAGTCAACCCTGATGATTCATCTCCTCTTCCTCCTACCTTCTCTTCAACCGAGAACCCAGCTTTTGAGCAGTCAGCCAGCCTGTCTGTCGCATCATCTATCAAGGTTCGACCTTCTGAACAGTTATTAGTCTCTTCTCTTCTAACCTCCCCACAGGCTCTACCATCCGAGCAGCCAGCGACCTCACCTCTTTCTCTAGGATCTGAGGTCAAACCTTCTGATCACATACTGAGTCCGCCTGTCTTATCGTATCCGAAGGAACAACCTTCTGTGGAGCCCCTGAGCTCGCTCGCTCCTGCAGCATCTGTGGGTATATCCAGTGAGCATCCAGTGAGCTCGCCTGCCACATCATCACAGGATAAGGATTGTGAAGAGCCTTTGGACGTGTCGGCTCCCATCACCTCTGAGGGTAAATCTTCTGAGACGCCAGTGGCCACGGCAAGACCTTCAACACCTGAGAGCAAACACTCCAGCTTGTCAGCCCGTGCATCTTCATGTAAGGCTCAGACATCTGAGCAGACATTGAGCTCACCTGTCCCTTCAGTTTCCGAAGACAAGCCTTCTGTACAGATAATGAGCTCACCTATCCCATTGAAACCTGAAGCCAAAGCTTGTGAACAAGCAGTCGACCCAATTATCTCTCCAAGAGCCGAGGAAACCACCTCTGGGAAGCCATTGAGCTCACCTGTCGCATCGAAATCCGAAGAGAAACCAGCTGACTCAATTAACCCTTCAACATCTGAAGAAAAGCCTTCCGAACATCCACAGCCACAAAGCCCACCTCTTACAGCCTCCTCATCTCTCTTTATTCAGCCATCAGAGCCAGCCCAGAGCCCATCTCAAGACCAATCCCCCCAGCAACCCCAGCCACCCCAGCCAACCGCACCCACCCCAAAGATGGAGCCTACCAAGTCATCCAAGAAGGCCAAGAAGAACAAGGCCAAGAAGAACAGAAAGAAGGCCAACCGTGCGGCAGCAGGAGGTAGTGGTAGTGGTAGTAGTGGTGGTGGAGGAGCAGGCACAGGAGCTGCCGAATCGAGCAACCTATCCACCAGCGGACAGAGCGAGGCCTCCGACGCGGCGACCGCCCTGACCAAGTCTGTCAACGAGCACGAGCTATTAGCGAAAGAAGCAGAGACCAACAAGGGCAGCAGCAACAACGGTAGCAGCAGCAGCCGCCACGAGGTCAAAGCACCAGCAACTTGGAACAAACTACCTGAGCTCGCCAGCAACACGAGCAAAATCAACAAGTCGGACATCAAGCTGAGTGCTGCCGTTGCTGCTACTGCTGCTGCTGCTCAGAATAGAGGCAGTCGGAATCTCAGAGTCCATCCGGATACTACCGCTGCCGCTTTTCAGGATCAAGGCGAAAGGATACACGATCCAGAGACTGCTGCCAAGATAGTAGCCATCCAGGCGGCCATCGACAGGCTGCAAGCCCTACAACGAAACCCGTCCGAGTTCATCGAGCCGATAGAGGGGCTGCTGAGAATCGAGACGCCACCCGGTCAGTCCTACGCGGGTCCCTTGTTGGCCAGTACGAGAATCGCGAACTTCACCGTGGCGCCCTGCCGTGGCCGGCCTGGGACTGCAAGGTCCGAGGTGCCTACCAAGACCGACGGGGAAGAGTCGACTCTCGCGAAGGGCTCGAGCAAGGAAGCCGGTTCTCCACCTCCGTATTCGAGGGATCCTGAGCCCACCACGCCTCAGAGCAACACTGTCACCACTCGAACCGCGCTCACCCCCATCCAGGAAGCCACCGCCGAAGGCCAGCGGGAAGGCAAAACGGGTCAAGGTGATACTGATAAATCCGGCACTCAGGAGGCAGGGGAAGGAGGTGACGCGCACGATCTGACCCCCAAGTCCACCAGCACGACCTCTACCGCGTGGACGGCCAGCCAGCAGGCTCTTCAGACCACGCCCCAGACCGCCGTGACCTCTGAGCCATCCACCACCAAGACAACCGGCACCCAGCCAAAGGCCAGGGGAAACAATACTACCACCACAACGCAGTCCAGCGCCAATAGATCAACAATTCCACTCCCACCACCAGCGACCCACCCCCAGGTCGCCAGTAGCAGCCACGCGCACCCCTCCCCGCCTCCCCCGACCACAGTCACATCCACAGCGAGAACCCCGCTCAGCCCTACGGCGAGCACCACAAGCACAAGCACAAGCACCACCCACTACCAACAGATTTCCAACGTCCGGGGCGGCACGCTCTCCAGCCAAAAGCCCGAGGGATTCTTCTGGCAACTCGACAGCCACGGCTTCCCCTGCGCGCTGCGCAACTGCCCCAAGCGCTGCAACTCCTGGGATGGAGTCACCGTGATCTGTCCGGGGTGCGGCCCCTTCTCCGAGACCCGCTACTGCTGCCGCGACCACTTGCTGCAGGGCATCAAGACGCACTGGCCCGTGTGCGGCGACCAGGTCTTCGTGCACCCCTGCCGCGAGAGCACGATCCCGCGCGACGTCCGCGAAGGTCCGCCCCTGATCCCCTGCCTGCACAACTACGACATGCCCGAGCGCCACCGCCAGGCGGTGTACTTCCGCATGAACGAGCGCCAGGGCGACTACTTCATCTTCGCCGACTGGGCCGACTACGTGCGCGCCGGGTTCCCCGAGAACACGACCGCGGTGCGCTGCGCCAAGCGCGTGGTGCATACCGTGCGCTTCGAGGATTTCGAAGAGAAGGATCGGTTCCGGCGTGTGCTGGCGATTTGTTTGTTTGGTATGTTCTTTGATACAGATATTCCCTAGAGTCAAGGTGAGTTGGCTGAAGTGAAATCTGGGCTGACATAACTCTCTTCTTCCTGATAGCGACGGTTGAGGTTCATGCGCTGGTTGACTACATGTACCGCCTCATTCGTGATCAACTCCGCGGCGCGAACGCATCCAAGCAGCTTGAGGCCGCGCTACGCTACCAGATCCATGCGGAGACAAGCGTGTCCATCCAGCAGTACATCACGGGAGAGCGCCACGCATGTGCCACTGATTGGGACGGCCGCAACCGCCGCAACTGTCCGGATCAGGTGTGCCGGTCCGAGTATCGTCGACTCCTGGGTTCCTTAGGCGGAGGTGGTCTACGTGAAGTTGTGAGGAATATGGAATCAACTTACTGGATTCTCCGCGCAGCCAGAACCACTCATCCGACAGTCAACGACCCGAAGAAGCGCATGCTCGGTGAGGGCTTCGAGGGCGTGGCGGAGGAGGATCAGAGGGTCTTTCGACGTGGTGATGGCTGGGATGGCGCCGGTACCGGCAACATGGAGATCGAAGGTATGAATGAGGGTCCTGAAGAAGCATGATTGACATTCATGTCAACATTGTTTGTATCCCGGCTCCAAGGCTCTGTGCTGTCGTGTTGGGTATCCTGGTTCGTCCTGTTATGGTTGACGGTGTTGACTTTACTCATCTATGTTTGCTCTGGGTAATATCAAGGCAAGGTAGACGAAGTATGAAGCGGATGTTGTTTTTCACTTGTTAGTGCTCCGGCAGGATGGAGATAATGTCATGTAACAATACAGATAGCAAATTGCAAATCTATTCAATTTTGCTCAGTCCAGCCTCCGACACATGAAGTCTATATTATCGTAAGTCCGTTGTTGAAACCGGTGTTTACCAAACATCGATGCAAATCTATACGATGAAGGGTCGTGCAGTCTAAATTACTGCTTGATGTACTTCTTCAAGCCACGTAGTCTCTCTTTAGCCGTTTCGAGCACATCGTCATTCTTGCAAACGGCAAAGCGGAGGTAATCCTCGGCAATGTGGGCATTGGCATCCGTGTAGAACTCGGTGGGAGGAATAGCTGCAACTCCCACCTCGTGGATGAGGAACCAGCAGAGCTTGAAGTCGCGAGGCCGGCTGGCCACATGGGGAGGGAATGGGTAATCCTCAGGCAACTTCACAGAGGCCATGTTTGCGAGGACGAAGTATCCGCCCTCAGGATCCGAGTACTATATAACTCAGTTGGTAGAGTACTTGGGAAATTCACGACGTCGTCACTTACCGGAATGTTGAGTTCGTCAAAGATCTGGCAGAAACGCTCCATCTTTCCCTTCATCTCCTTCCTACTCTCGTCCCAGAAGCCGACCTTGTCTGCCTGCTCGAAAGCCACCGCGGCAGCTTCTTGAAGAGGCGAAACACTGCTGTAGCAGATACGAGTGTGGGCGCCGGAGACATACTTGATCAGGTGCTCGGGTCCGATGAGGTAACCCACACGCCAACCGGTGGCATAGAAAGCCTTGCCAGCCGAGCCCACGGTGAGGGTGCGCTCATAGAGCTCCGGGGACAAGGTAGCAATGCGGGTGAAGGGAACGTAGTAGAGACGGTCGTAGACTTCGTCGGAAAGAATGATCAGGTTGTGTTTCACACAAAGCTCACCAATGCGCTCGAGTTCAGCGCGGGAAAAGACCTTGCCGACGGGGTTATGACTGGTAGACGTCAGGCTTGATTCACTCCATACCAAGCTGGAATGCGAGCACTTACGGCGAGTTCAGAACCTAGCGAGGTTGAGTCAGTTGAGTACGATTTGCAGAAGAGTCCAAGTGCCTTACAATCATCTTCGTCTTCGAGTTGATCGTGTTCTCCAGCTCCGCAAAGTCAATGGACCACTCAGCCGCGGAGGAAGTGCGTGTAGCGCCATCTTTGGGGGGATGAAGCGGGACGTAGCGGATTGTACCACCGGGCATTTCGATGTTACTGATGTATCTTTGGGCGGCGTCAGACGGGTAGCAGAGGGGAAAGACCGTGCAACCTACTGGTCGAAGAACGGCTCGAAGACAATAACTTCGTCGCCGGGCTCGATGAATCCCATAAAAGCGCTCAGCATACCTTGTATTCGGTCAGCTGCGCGTACTTCCTCGCTTATTTAAGACAATCCCACCTTCATTGGCTCCCGTGGTAACGACAACCTCGGTGTCCGGGTTGATGGTGCGACCAAATGAGGGGGAGTAAGCATCCGCTAGGGCTTGCTTGAGACGAGGACGTCCCTGAAGGTATGTGAGTCTATGCGACTATGCGCTCTCGTTCCTTGGTGGAGGAATGTACCTTGGTCGGGGAGTATTGGTTGCATTCGACGCGGTCGAGGGCTTCCTTGGCAGCATCGAGAGCAAACTTGGGAGGGTTGTAGCCACTGAAAAGAAAGCGTCATTAGTTCTCTACTGCGGGAGCTTACAAGCTAGTTAATTACTCACAAGAAACCCTGACCCATGTTCACGATGGGCTGAACGGGCGAAGCGGCAGCAGCTTCATTGACAATGGACCTGCGCGCCGGTCAGCAATCCAGGCCGCAGCACAACAGGTTTTAGGTATGCTTCGTACCAAACATCCTGTTTCTGACCAGCGACCCTCTTGGCCGGGCGAAAAGGGTCGGGACGAGCCGCAGTGACCGACATTGGACGTGTGCAAGCTGGATAGCGGGGGAGGGCGGAGGGGAAGGCAGAAGTGCGCAGCGAAGATGTGGAGGGCTGGACCTGACAAATTGCAGTAATGGAAAAGAGACGTGAACCCCGGTACATAGAGGCAAGCAGTCGAGTAGGGGCCAGCCAGGAGTGAAGCGAGCGAAAGAGCAAGAGAAGAGGAGAGAAAAAGAGACGGGAACTGAGGGAGAAGAGGGAGAAGAGGGAGGAGTCCGGGGATGGAAAGCGATGGTGGGGAAACTCAAGCTTTCCGCTTTGGGTCGAACCGGATGTTATTGCGTGCTTGGCCTTGGCAATGAATACTGATAAGCTGTTGTTTTTACAAGATAACACACTACTGCAAAGATCATGAAGGTCAGTTGACTTGTTTTAATCTAACAATTGCGTTGAGGTGAGCATAAATCTTGTTGATAGTGTCGCACAGGAATTCCTCGCGCCCTTAGGTATTCAGGCATTCAGGCATCCCGGCGTCACATGTGTCATCGCAGATTGACAGGATTAGTCAGCCGATGGCTCTTATCGCCGCCGCGGCTGACGCGTGGGGAACGCGTTAAGCATCTTCTCAATGGCTTCAATGGTAGTCGATTCTATCCCCGGTAGCTGGTCTATCAGATAGCGCGCGGCCAGTCCAATCAAGCAGCTCACTCGAATATTGATAAACCCATCAGCTTGCTCGTCAAAATGGTATCGTGTCCCATCTGCAGCAAGTCTGTCCCCAGCTTGAAGATCAACGATCATATCGATTCCGATTGTCAGAACTTTATCGACGAGCCAAGTTCCAGCGCAGAAACCCCCTCCTCGCAAAAAGCCCCCGTCCCGTCCTTTTTCCAGCCAGCGTCTGCCCGGAAGGCTTCTACTCAGAGTAATGGATCACGAGAACCCATTACGGACTCCTCCCCGCTGCGCAATGTCAATGGCAAGCGGACAGCCCCGCTAGCGGCTGAGGTCGCCGTCGAGACGAACCATAAACTACAGAGTAATGACCTACCGTCGGAGCCCAAGCGTCCCAAGATGAACGCTTTCCAGAAGGCAGCCCCGTTGCCGGAGCGTATGCGCCCGCGGACACTGGACGAGGTCTGCGGCCAGGAACTGGTGGGCCCAACGGGGGTGCTGCGGGGGCTCATTGAGCAGGATCGCGTGCCCAGTATGGTCCTCTGGGGCGGGCCTGGCACAGGCAAGACGACCATTGCGCGAGTCATTGCGTCCATGGTGGGTAGTCGCTTCGTGGAAATTAACAGCACCAGCAGCGGGGTTGCGGAGTGCAAGAAGATCTTTGCCGAGGCCCGAAGTGAGCTTGGTCTGACCGGCCGAAAGACCATCATCTTTTGCGATGAGATCCACCGTTTCTCCAAGTCGCAGCAGGATGTCTTTTTGGGGCCGGTGGAAAGTGGCCAAGTGACGCTCATTGGCGCCACCACAGAAAACCCATCCTTCAAAGTGCAGAGCGCATTGCTCTCTCGATGTCGCACGTTCACGCTATCCAAGCTCACGGATGAGGATATCAAATCAATCCTGCAGCGGGCGCTTCGTGTGGAAGGACCCAGCTACTCGCCTACTGAGCTGGTGGATGATGAATTGATTGATTATCTGGCACGATTCTCCGACGGTGACGCGCGAACATCTCTTAATCTCCTGGAGCTCGCGATGGATCTATCCAAGCGTGCAGGCATCAGCAAGGACGAGATCAAACGGGCCCTGACGAAGACGCTGGTGTATGACCGTGCGGGCGACCAACACTACGACACCATTTCAGCATTCCACAAATCCATCCGAGGAAGCGACCCGGATGCGGCGCTCTACTATCTCGCGCGTATGATTCAGTCGGGAGAAGACCCTCTGTACATCGCGCGACGGTTGATTGTGGTGGCATCGGAGGACATCGGGCTGGCCGACAATAGTATGCTCACGCTCGCCATTTCCACTCACGCGGCTGTGGAGCGAATCGGCCTCCCAGAGGCACGGATCAATCTGGCACACGCGACGGTGGCAATGGCGCTGTCGAAGAAGAGTACGCGATCATACCGAGGCCTCAATAATGCTTTCGCGGCCCTGGCAGAACCAGGAGTCGCCGGGCTGCCAATTCCGATTCACCTGCGGAATGCCCCGACGCGGTTGATGAAGGAGCTCGGGTATGGGAAGGAGTACAAGTACAATCCTAATTATGCGGATGGGGAGGTGGTACAGGAGTATTTACCGGAGCCGATTCAGGGACGCAGATTCTTGGAGGAGCTGGACTTGGGGACTCAGGTTGATCCAGATCTGATGAGGTGAGAGGAACCGTGCCATTTGAGCATCTCGTACATCAAACATCTACAATCCCGCTAGAACATAGATCAAGGGCAGATAGGAAAACAAACTGCATACGAATTGATGACCCAGAGCTGAAGCTACCGCCAAAATTCAAGCCCTAAATACGGAGTAAATAGTTGTAAATGAGTAGGAGAGCAAGTCGACACCGAGGGAGGGAATCAACATCAACCGACTGGGCAATCTAATGTTTGTTCCCGTCTTGGCTGCGCGTCTCCATCGCCCGCTCCTTTTCTCCACCACCTCCGACACTCTCACTCATTCTTGCGGCCTGATTCTCCTGAATACCTAGACACCCTCACAGCACATCCTAATAACCAAACCCAAACCCCTACAGAAACAACACAATACTGTGAACCCCCGAGAATCACACGGACACGGGCAATGAGGCTCAACCACCTCGCCTAACCAACGCCCTCTACCCCGACCATACCAAAACCAAACCACCACACCCGCCCGGTACCTCACAACACCACCACCACCAGAAAATGGCCTCCTCAACCCAACCCTTCGGCTCGCGCTCCTACGCCGCCGGCAAACTACCCGACCGCTCCCTCAACGCCGCCAACGCCCTACCCTTCAGCGCGTCCTCATTCTCGCGCCACCGCGGCCTCGCCGGAGGCGGCGGCAGCAGCATCCCCAACCCCAACCCCGGCGGCATCGGCGCAGGCATCGGGGACTTCAGCAACGACCCCAGCAGCAACAAAGCGAGCCACGCAGCCGCGCAGCACAGCCATCTGCAAGGCGGAGGGCCCCCGGCGCCGCCGCTGCACTCGCAAGCCCACGGACAAGACACGACGAACCCGCTGAGTCGATTAACGGAGGAACAGCGGGAGGAGATTAATGAAGCCGTACGTACCCTCAAAGCCCAAACCCATCAACCTGCCCCCCAAACCCATACCCCAAGCTAACACCCGGGCAAAAAAAAAAGTTTACCCTCTTCGACCTCGACCGCGACCGCCACCTAGACTACCACGAACTCCGCGTCGCCTTCCGCGCACTAGGCTTCTCCCTCCCGAAACAAGAACTCATCTCCTTACTCACAACCTACGGCGTACCCCGGCCACAAGTCCAGCAACAACAAGCCCAAGCACAATCGCAAAACCCACCCCCGCAAAACCCCCCACAACCCCTCCAGAAATCCGCCACCAACAACCCCCAACACCCGTCCAACCTCCTCATGCCCCTCAGCGCCTTCCAGGCCGTCACCGCCTTGAAAATCCTGGAACGGGATCCGCGCGACGAGATCATGCGGGCGTTCGAGCTGTTCGACGAAGGTGGGAAGGGGTACATCGATTTGGAGGATCTGCGGCGCGTGGCGCGGGAGCTGGGCGAGACCGGGCTGGAGGAGGAGGAGCTGCGGGCGATGATTGAGGAGTTTGATCTGGAGGGGGTGGGCGGTGTCACCAAGGAGGCGTTTGTGAGTATTTGTTGGCAGTAAGCCCTCGAATTCTTGGGTTGAGGGGATGATTTGATCGAAGAAGGGGGGGGAAGTGATAAGGTACTAAGGTTTAGGATATTTGAGGCGAGAGGATGGCTGGTTGGTTGGTTGGTTTTGTGAGGCTTTTTTGCCTGTTGGGATTATGGGTTTGAGTTGAGGCTTTAGAGGTGGATTTCAGCTTGTCACCACTTGGTTGTTGTTGGTGGGGGTGGAACTATACAGCAGGAAAGGTTGGTTATGTGGTCCTGCAGCTGAAAGGCTGATTGACGTCTTATTTTTTTATTTTCTTTTTTACTATCGTTTTGGGCATTGGGCAGGCGCCGATTCTATTTTCCTCGTTTGTCGACTTATCTTGTACTCTCATTGCTGCTTCACTTGACTAGATGTCTAAAAAATATCCATCTTGAGCTGCATGAATGTGTTAAACTGAGCTTACATCCTACTAAGATATACAACTTGTGGCAAGCAGCCCAAGAGTCTAGAATACAAAAGTGGCCAGCACCCGGTAGCCTAGCTGAATTATAAAGCAATCGTATTTATTGACGAACCTGACTGTACAATGTCGATGATAAGCCGGTCAAAAAGAATGACCAAGATGATACCCAGAACATAAAAATGCAACCCCAATAGAAAATGAAATAGCCACACATCCAAAGACAAACACCCAACACCACCCTAACCCAGTTGAAAGAAGCAAGTGTCACAATTATGAGTCTACAATGCTCATTATGCAGCGCTCGTGTAAATGCACGTTCTACGTGCGTGGCAGAAAGAAAGGAAAATCATGCATAGCGCCCTTGGGGCGGATATTGCGGGTATTGTGGTCCAGCCGGTCCAGGTCCGGGATACGGCGGCGGAGGCGAGGACAAGCCCTGGTATCCCTGAGCCGGGGCATCGTTCGGCCATTGATTCATTGGCGGAGGCGGAGCCATAGGCCCGTTCCAAGGCCCGTAGGGAGGTCGGGGTGCAGGTCGAGCCATGGGGCGTGGTTGACGACAGCGACGAACTAAGCAGGAAAGCAGGCCAAGGAGCAACAAGCCTCCCACTGCACAGGCGACCCCAATCACGATGGCCTTGTGGTCGTTGATCCACGATTTGAAACTTTGTCCCTTGCAGTCTCCATTGCTGCAGTAGCCGCCACTACCACAAGGAGTTCCATCCAGGAAATTCTGGTTGAATCCCACGCACTGACCACCGAATGAGATTGAGTTGGAGCTGCAAATCAACTCGCACGAGGAGCTATATGCCGAGCAAGCGTACGTGTTGTTCTCGTGTAGGACGCTGCCCATCACACTGCGGCATTGATAGTCGCGGCTGGTGCATTGGCCACTGGCACACTTCAGGCCAGATCCGCTACTCCCACAACTGGTGCCATCATCTTTGTACGAGTCCGAAGGACATGAGCTGGAGTTGCCGCTGCATGTCTCGGCCAAGTCACATTCGCTCCGGCTGGCCCGGCACACCGTGCCCGCAGAAGCATATTGGCATGACGAGCAGCAGCTGTCGTTAGAATCATCACATACGGATCCCGACGTGAACTTGCATGTAGTAGGATTGCAGCACTTGTTGTCGCCGCAGCCAGCTTCACCACCGCAATCACAGTCCTCGCCTTCCTCGACAATTCCGTTCCCGCACTGGCTACCTGTGTAGGTAGTGACGCCGCGGTTCGCCGAGAGACAGCTCGACTTGACACTGTTACGGCCGATGGCGGAGCAGATATTTCCGATCGTGCACTCTGAAAACGAGCTAATGTCAGTCCCCGTCGTGGGGTTCATGATATACTTGCCGCTGGCATCACATGTCTTGGATGTCAACGGGCAGCATTGCGATGAGGACTCGAGATTTTGCGAACAAGTGTCAGAATCGCAGTCATGCACCGCACCGAATGTGTGGCCGGTCTCATGGGCGAAAATTTGCCAACCACCGCCAGAGGAGCGGACGACGACATTGGCACCACTGACAGAGTTGTCGCCGCTAGCAGTCACATCCGCATTGCACAGCTGTCCCAACCAAGATACGCCGACTTCGCTGCCGGTCGGACAGTTACTGAAGAGAGTCCAATACGCGTTCGAGTCACCATGCTGGCCGCGCCACTCGGAGAACAGATTCAAACGGGAGGTGAGGTTACCGCTCGAACAGGGCATATTCCATGCAGTAGCCGCGGGTGGGTTCTCAGGGCAAGAACTCTCCGAGATAGTCAAATTGCGCAGGCCAATCGAGACATTGAAAGACTTCTCATAAACGCTGGAAGCACTGTTGACTGTGCTAATCACCCATTGCTTCGCTGCAGTCTCATTCTTGAAGGAGCCTGTGAATGAGCAGTCCGTAGCAACTCCGATCAAGGCCACTTGCTTTGTGTTGGGGCAGCCCGAAGTGTCACTTATGGTCGACGCCAAATTCACGGTCCCTGAGTTTCCAGAGACGCTGCCGGTATCCGATTGCCGCTTGCTCAACCCGAACAAGGAGTTCATCGACATGACTCCCCAACGATCTGAATCCACATCCATTTGATAGGATGAAAGAACCGGGTGATTTGGATCGACGTTGAAGTCCAACTGATCAGCTTGACATGATGTTGATTCCAGCACCGATCGCTTTAGCTCTGTATGGACGCGATACATATCCGAGTCGCGGTAGACGACCATGTATTCGCCCTTGGTGTCGACAATATCGGCATCCTGCTTGCGTTTCTTCTGTAGGTACGTCGACTTCAACTCCACGTGGTGGTTGTCCCCATGCACACTGAATACGCCTTCGAAAAGGGGCTGGTCACCATCATGCTTGAGATAGACTCTAGCCGATCCGACTGGATCCCACATGCCCTGACCCCGACCGATTAGGCTCCTTCCCTTGAAGACTTTGTGGTCTTGGCGAGAGATGGGTTCCGCTCGTCGAACATTCCCATCGGCATCGAGGTATTGTACATATGCATCGTCCGCCAGAATGTCATGATTCGGCTCCAGTTCGAGCTTGACTCGTTGATTCTTGTCACGGAGGTTGAAGGTGATGTCAAAGTGTGTCAGATGATCAACCTGATGCGAGGGCGTCTGAATCGTCGGGTGGTCTAATGTCGAGATGTGATGAATGGTGTTGGGTGATTGCGACCGGGCTGCGTTGACAACTGAGTTAAATTGACCCAAATCTCCAGGGGAAACAGAACCAACCTTGCACATCGCAAGCAAAGAGGGATATTGCGCTTGCAATCAACGGGAGGGAGTAAGAGAAGACCCTCATGGCCGCCAATGACTGGACTTCACGGCCAGCGAAACGAGCGGAAAGTGAATGTAACGAGTGATTTGCAAAACAATAGCAGATGACAGCAGCGGTAGGGAGAAGAAGTCAGATCCAATTCCCCCGGAGTCTTTCTAAGCAAAAACATCAGGCAGCCGCCAAGCGTGAGACAATGGTTTGGATGATCACTGCGACCCGTTATTAAAGATGGGGGGCGGGTTTCAAATCCACTCCTGTATCTATGCCAAGGGATCGGTTTAATTGATTGAAGCGATAGCACAAGTTCTTGGTTGGTTGGTTGGCAGATAATGGAGAGATGACGCCGTATGCAGCCAGTGCACAACGAACGGGATAAGGGTCTGATATGGTCTGTTGCAAGACCCTGTGGCGGGAGAAAGACGATCAGGGTCTTTTCTCACACTTTCACAGAAGCCGAGGGAGTCTCTCTCTTGGCCCGCAGAGGCGCAGCAGCCTTGGCGGGGAAAATGGCAGGAGGAACAACAATCAAAAACGAATGGAATAGTTAAGAGACTGAGGCGGATCCGATCGGATAAAGATCCCTCAGGCCCTCCAGGCACTAGAAGCAGGCCTGACGAACGTCAACAGAAAAAACAACAAACAAAGAGGGTGAGGAATGATGAAGAATGAAAGAGTGGAAGAATGGAAGATTGACAGGCGGAAAGAAGATGGACTTGTTGACAATGCCAAGCCCCCGCCCGGCCCCCTTCTTTTTCGACTCGGTCTACAGTGTAAGCGCCGGAGGCTGCACTGATGCTTTCATTCATATCTTATCATTATTCCTCTTTCTATGATATTGACATCGTGCTATGTCTCTTGGCTGGGGATATCTCTGCAGTCACTGCAAATGTTACAGAAAACCACTTACAAGATGTTTGAATCATACCTACGAATCAATGCACACATGATGACATCGTCTCCATGGCAATGGGTCACTTCCTTATGCTTAAACCCAAGGGATATCAATCCGGAGCTGCGTGATATAGAACATGCGCCTCGCGCGCAAAATGAGGAATCGAGGCACCACAGATACCACAGGCTATGCAGAGCATGCCCTCTTCCCCGTCGCTTTCCTCCCACGCCACATCTCCCACAGGATGATCTACAATCTTGCGCGGTTCCCCAGCCTTAGAACTGGCCTCAGGACGAAACTCGGCAATGGTTTCCTTTGTCTCTGAGATGGGCACGTCCGCATACTGTGCACAAGAAAATGCTTTGGTCCCTGTTCTTTGAGTCTGGAACATCTTTCCAATGTCGCGTCCACTGCTCTGCTTCCTATCGCCGGCTCCTTCAACCATGTTCGTCACCGCAACATTCATCAATTGAAGGTCCCAGCCAGATTTCTCCGGGTGCAATTTGCGAAACATGGATAGCAGGGGATCATGCACCAATCGCTCCGCCAGAGCATCGATAGTTTCATCCAGGGCAAACACATATGCAGGGAGCGGCTCAGAGCGCGAGGTCCGATGAGCCGGTCGCACACCCTCAGTACCCGGGTTCCGAAGTCGCGTAGACAGGCGCAGTGTCCGAGGACGAGCCAGCCATCGGGTTGAGGACTTCTCCACGGATTCCAAGCTGTGGACAAGTTGATCGGGCCCTGCATCTACCTCAAGGTCCTGCTCTGTCAGGTCAGTCCGCATGCGACGGAGAAGACTAGCCGTCAAGGAGATTAATTTCTTCCGAACGTCTTCCAGAGTATCCAGACGCCCATAAGTGTCCTCGATACTGATCTGGGTGGGCACGTCGCCCGCCGGAATAACCGGCGCAGAGTCAACGCCATTTAGCAAGCCCCAGACCCGCGCACCAATATCCCGGGGTGCACCTGGTCCGCCGAGTATACGGTCCAGCAGGGCTGGTCCCATACTGGAACTCAGTCGCACATCGCGGACGGTCTTTGGCTCATCTGTCAGAGGGGGGGTGGCTGAGCTGGCCTGTGCGCCGGCTTTGGTAAGGTAAGCGGTGATTTTCCGAGTCAGCTTGGAGCCCAACCCGGGAATCTTCCGAATCTCATGTCCATCAAGGAAGGTCACCACATTACTCTTCAATGCGCCTGGTCTCGCGTCGTAGGGTGGAAGAAGGGTGGTCTGGTTGTTCGGTTTATGTGTGTTGCCTACCAACTTGGCTAGCAGTTTGGAGGTTGAGATCCCCACTGTGGCCGTGTAACCCATGTGGAACTCGAGTTGGCCTCGCAGGAAGCCTGCCAAGTGCGAGGCCACGAGCAGCCGCGTGTAGAGCCCTGAGATCTCTCCATTCGAGCTTAGGCTTACAGACGTTAAATTCAGATCCGCAGGGTAAGTGGACCCGTGCACTTGGGTGGCATTGTAGGTGAAACCCACTGTGGGTTCCTGCCGGTCAAGATGGAAGAACGAGTGTTCCAGGTCATGGCGGTTGAGCAGGTCAACGTTGTAATCGATCATCTCGGTCACGTCCATGAACACCTATGACCAGGTTAGAGGTGCTATCGGGGCCCAGCCGTGGTACTAAAGATAGTGCATGAACCTGTGGAGGTCCGGCCAACATACCTCATCGAAGCCTAGCCGTTCGACCTTGTCCCCCCAGACGAACGATCGCAGATAGAAGAAAAGCCGCTTGGAGGCATCGCGAAAGCGGGTCAGGTCCTCGCCCAGAACAATGACGACGTCCGGGCAGATCTGTTTGGCCTCCCGGATCAGTTGGAGCTTGCGTAGCCCCCTCCGCCGTGCTTCGTAATTACAGGTTACCACAATCTGCTTCTGCTGCACTGCCAACGGCAGCGACTTCAGCACCGGCTGCTCTACCTCAAAGACCGCGGCGTAGAAGCAGTCATAATCCTGCCGTGCGAGATGAGGTTAGTCGGTCGTCGAGGTCTACAATCCTACGGAGCCGGAGGAAGCTCGGGCATGGACGTCGGGTCAACTGACAAAGTGCAAGATGATTCGACGATCGTCTCTGGATGGAACTGTGGCCATGGGCTAACCCAGATTAACGGCCTTGAAAGTGAGAGTTTCGACGCGCAGTGAACAAGTTTGGTGGCAGGCAGCACTGTCGGCCAACCATGCGCTCGATTAATACCTAGTGTGCTGCAGCCTGTCAGTAGCGTGGTGGAGGACACTCCATTCGCTGATAGGCCAGTGCAGCAAATCCGGTTCCTAAGAATAAACAGCAGGATGCAATGAAGGAATGATGGAGACACAGGCACAATGGACTAGTTGATATCACACCTAGCACAATAATGAAACTTAAACAAAACTTCCAAGGCTGACAGTACGGCGAGTAATGGTCTGATTGGGTGGAGACGGAAGGAGGAGGCTGGGGCGTGGCTGGCAGATGAGAGGTGGCTGGTGCGCAGTGGACCCTGGATGACTAAGCTAGCTCTTCTCCCGTGACAGTAGCACTAATCCCTTTTTGGAACTTCCCCACAGACTAATCTGCATTCGGCCGAACCCGTTTAGCTAAGTCCCAGCCAAGGAAAAGGCTGCAGGAAAGAAAACACTACAGTCATAGTTACTGCACAATCCATCCATCACTTGCGTATTCCATCCATCCTCTCTCCGCATTCTGGTCGGGACCAGAAGTCGCTAAGAGTCGCCAAGAACCGTTCCATCATGCCCAAGTGACAGGAACCAGAGTCGGAGTCACTAGGACTCGTTTTTGTCTCTCTATCCCCGCCGCTATCGCCCGGTCTCCACCCTCAAAGTGAGCCCGCCGCGTGTCGTCTACACGCCCGACTGGACCCGGAATGGACTGGATGGGCCTGTGGAAAAAAAGAAAGAAGAAAAAAAAATGTAAGGTAAAAAAAAAAGAAAGGAAGAGGCTAGTTGGGTTGGCGTGGGATTGACTATATTTAGACACCTCGATGGCACGATAGCTGTCGCTGATAGGCCGATACGACGTGGATGGCTCTTCTCTGGCTGCGTCTGGACTGTGATTTAATTTCCACAGCGGCTAATCCTTTGCCATCATCGCCGCCACTCCATCTTTGGGTCTGACTCGTTTTGGGTTCTCTGTTGTTATCCAAGACACAACACCAGCAGAAGGATTTTAGGTGGTGAAGATGATGAAACTCGTCGTTGGGTTTCAATCGAATCTTTTACACTCAGTCAAAGTAACTGGCTATCACTGCTGTCTTTTCCTGATGCCCATGCCACGGTGACAAGACCGAATATGGGGGATCAACAGATCCATCATATCATGACGAGCACGTACTGCTTGATCGCCGGTGTTCTTAAAATAGGGCCCGTCCAAGCGCCCACCACCAGTAGTTCAGTGTCCACAGTCCACAGTCCACTCGCACTTGCACTGGCACTTGCACTTGACTGACTGACTGACTGACTGACTGACTGACGACGATTTTGCCTCTTCTTTTCCGTCACATCATTATTCCTGTGAATTAAGATGGATCTGGTACCTCTCATATGTCTACGTTAAATACAAGAATCTGAATCCAGAACAAATAACAAGACGACTCACAATAACACACATAAGAATAATAATAAATATCTAATCTTACCCTGCATCTAGCCCATCTCCACTCATTATCACAGCCCAGTGGAAGTCGGTCTGCAGCGCCGCTCATCCATCCATCCATTCATCCACTTGCGGGGCGACGTCGCACTCTTCTTCTTTTCACCTATTTTCTTCTTCCTCTTAACCATCCTTTCCCTCTTTCCTCTTCGACCTTATCTTACATGAACCAGATCTTTATCCTCTCATCTGCAACTCCTGCTCTTGTATCGCAGAGGGGCCCTTGTCCACCATGCTCGCAACCTCCATGACCCCGCAACAGCCTTCCTCCAACATGGCCTGCAGTTTGGCCCCAACGACCAACACCCGGTCGACGATCGCCTCCCGACCAAAACTCACCCTTCAAACATCCTCCCTACCCTTGACTTTCGGCACTTCCTCCACAGGCCTGTCGCTCTCACTGGTGGCCGGCTCGACCGCATCCCCCACCGTCCGGAATACCTTCAAGAATGCCTACGACGTGACTGCGCCCGTCTCCGCCACGGCCTCCCCCTCCTCCAAGTTCCCCAGTCACCGGTTCAGCAAGCCCTCATCACCCTACACCACCCACCACCCATACCAACTACCCATGGGGGTGCGCAGCATCCTGCGCAATTCCCCGCTCGAGCCCAGCTGCCGTCGCCGGTCCACCTCGGTGGCAACCAACGGGACGACCGGCGCTCCCGCCACGAGGCGGGTGTTCTTCCCGGCCAAGAAGCAAGTCAGCTACCGCTACCCGTTGGAGGAGGAAATCCAAAATGTCCATTACACTGCGCGCCACTCGGACCTCCATGACGTGGAGGAAGAGCGTCCGAAATTAAGCACCAGCACAAGCACACCCAGTGAGGATTCCGATTCCGCCGCAAATAACTCATCTTCATCATCATCATCATCCGACACAAACACCTCTGACGACGAACCCCAACCCACCTTCAAACACAACCTCCTGTCGCCCGTGGAACGGAAGAAGCGAAAGCACCAAAAGGCCGAACGGCAGGTCCGCGCGGTCGCCTTGCGAGAGAAGCTGGGGGACATGACACCACAGACGCCGGTGCGCAAACGCGCCAAGCGGCGCTGCGAATGGCGCTGGACGTTAGGGCCGTTGGAGAATCGGGACAGTCTCCTGCCGCCTCCCATTCCGGAAGAGCAGGCGGCAGCAACCGCATCAGCATCGTCCTCGGGATCCGACTCCAGCCCATCCGACCGGGGCTCCCAACCATCATCGACGGGGTCAACTCCGTTGTTGAGTGCGACACCCTCGCACGCGCAATCCAGTCCCAGTTCGTCTGTCGCATTTGAGCTGGAAGGAACCGACGAGTCCATGAAGATCACGACTCACGAACCGCAACGCCCTGACACCGACCTCTCACGATAAGACCCCAAGTGACGAACGCTTACTACTACAACCAACCATGATGACTTGCGCTTCCAATCACGAACTCATGCATATAGACGGCAGACGATTTTCTAAAATTTCATTCTTTCCGGATCCGGCCCTTGCCGGCTCATTTTTCTCTTACTTTGTCCGTGGACACGATATCTTACTGGATTGTCTAAGACATTTGCAAGGCGGTGGGTGGTGCGATGATGTCATCACCAGAACCCTCAGACCGCCCCCCTTTTATATCACCCTTTCTATATAAATAATTTTTTTTTCTTATTTTATATTTCTAATACATACGAACCAATATCCGCATATGCATGCATGCATGCATGCATGGCAATGGCTATTACGAATGTGCAGATTAATTTGCAATCGCACCCATTCTTTTTACTCATTTGTACTGTACTGAGTATTTGTATATTGTCTTTCCCAGCGCTCCCTTTCTTCAAACACAAGTGACGGCATGACAGCAAAGTCCGCGGATTAATATAGCAACACAAAGTGGAGACATCACCACCACCACATATGAATACCCCGACAGTTGGTCGAAGGAAATGAGGCCCGTCGCTTGTATAAATATAGATTTCGCGTGCCAGGCAAGTGCCAATGACGCCCTCCTGCAGGCAGCACCTTTTCTTTTCTTTTTTTGGGGGGGGGGTTTCTTGGCCAGCAACAATACCGGTACTATGTACCGTAGAAGAGCCCTTGCTGCGTGCGGCTCTTACTATCGAAACTTTTTTTGGATCTTGACCGGAGCGTACTGTACTCACTCAACTGTTGGTGGGAACAACAACCCACTACCACTCCCTATCTAAGACGCCGTGGTGTTTGTGTGTCTGCATGGATCCTAAGTGCAGTGCAGTATGAGGAGAAACTTGGTCTTTGCTTGATATGGTTCAGGGGAAAAGGCAGTGCTCGTATCAATGACTGTATTGAGGTCGCTGGATACGATGATTGGGGAGTGTGTCTATCATCTTCTGTACCTCAACCCCCCCTCCTCCCCCCCCCCCAGCATATGTTGATTTATCCGATCCCGAGTAAAGTGTTGTGTTGTTGCCTGCACACTCAAGACTGATGCTTCCGCCGATAATTGGTGTGGTTTTACCTACTCCTGTGTTGTGCCCATGGGATTCTCTATAGATAATCTAGCATGTGTACTCCCTACCGTATGTTCCGGTAGTAACTACCGGTAACCTAGTTATAGGACTTCCCTGGGGAAAGTGGCACGACCCACCGTGCCCCAGGAAGGTGTCGGGTTGGGGTGGCGGGATGAAGGTTCAATAGTCCATTCTTCGGATATGACAGACGTTGAGATTCGGGGTTGGGTGGTCTCAACGTTGGTGTTATGTTGTTGGGAAACGAAGTATCGGGATAGTAGATTTGGGGGTTGCTGGAAGGTAAGGGGGTGGGGAGGTGCTATCATCATCGGTGGGGGTGTATTAATAGAACCGTCCTGTGGATTCGGGTGGGTGTGCATGTGCAGTATAGCACAGTCCTTTGCGGTAGGGTTTCGTTTGCATGAGGGTTGATCGGGAGATAGGCGGAGGGTGGTTTCGCTTGACCACTACGGTAACTACGTACATGCTGTGTGTACTGGGAGATGTTTGGTGAGGGATTTATCTGCCCTACTGTGTAGCAACTACATAGAGCCTGGCTATTATCTACTTCACTGGGTATGCCTTCAATGTATAACCATAGTCGTGTTCTCATTGATTGATAACCCATCCCATAACTCCATACTATACGTGCACAAAACAAAAGTCAGGAAGCAAGTAGAAATCATATACAGTACAACCCATCAATTACCCGTCTCGGTCTCGATATCTGGCTCCCGACCCGACAAATTTCCCGTGAACTTCATCTTCATCTTGCGCAAGGCAAACTTGGTCTCGTCGCGCGCGAACACCGCGTTGCGGACGGGGCGCCACTGCATCATCCCCCGCTGCTGGCGCTGTTCGCTGCGCTGCTCGGCCTTGCGGAGGACCTCGTTGGTGCTGGAGCGACTGGGCCCGCTGCTCGCACTGGCCGTCGCGGTGGTGTTGGTGAAGTTGTCGGACGAGCGACGGAGGTTGTCATTGACGTCGAAGTCGTCGTCGTCGTTGTTGGCAACACCGCGGCTGTTGCCCAGAGCGCGTTGCTGCTGTTGCGGTTGCAAGGAGTTGTTAATCTCGTGGTCCCCCTCGTCGTCGGATTCGCTCTCAGAGGAAGAGGAACTGTCTGGGTGAATTTTGGTATTCTCCTCCGCGTGCATGGTCCCGTAGGCTGTCGCCTCGACGCGCGGGGGGTTGTGCGGATCGTGCGGCGGGTTCTCTCGGCCTGGTTCAGCGACCTGTTTACCGTGCTCGTTGAGGTAGGCGCTGGGGTCCTGGCCGAAGGCGCCGCTCCAGTCGTACCCTTGCTTGTCGAGCCAGCGCTTGCGCTCGCGGGGATCCGCGTGCTTGAGGATGTCGCGGCCGTCCAGGAGGGACTGCTCGTGCAACTCCTCCACTTCTTCGGGCACCGAGGCGGTGATGTGCGTCGAGCGCACCCCCTCGGCGATGCACGCTTCCCACGTCTCGAAGGTCTCGCGCGAGTTGCTGTCGACCACAAACCGCTCGTGTGAGTCATCGATGCCCGGTGTGAAGCGGCCGGTGAAGCGCAGGCGGCCGATCTCGTGGAGGTCTTCAAGCCCGGGCGACTTCTTCGCCTCCCAGTTTTGCTCGGTGATGTAGTTCTGCGTGAGCCGCTTGCCGTTCTTGGTCGACCAGATGGGGATGTCGATCTCTGTGTTTTCGTTGTCCACCAGGTGCTGCAGCCAGAAGACGGCGTATCCCGTGGCATGATGCTTCTTCTGGGTGTGGAATTCGAAGACCACCGGAGAGCGGTAGCGATGCTTGACGGGAAGGCGGAGGCTGCGGCGGAAGTTCTCATCCGAAAGGTCGAAGCTGAGGTTGTTGTTCTCATCCACAGAGCAAACGTGCTTGGTGATCTTGCCGCTACTGCCACCGGTGCGGAGCTTGATCTTGCAGCGTTGATTGAAGTTCACAGTGGTGAGCTTCTCGGAGACGAACTCGAAGGTGCCCACGTCCCATCCTAGCATTTGAGGTGGGAGGCGAGTCTCAACGGAGCGGAACAGGATGGAGATACGGATGCGCCCGAACCCGATGCCACCATCGAGAGGATACCATCTAGTGACTTGCGAGCTGGTCTGCAGGAGGTCGGAGATCTTTAGAGGCACGACGCCCAGGATGGGGTCGTGCTGGCGGTAACGCTGGTCGCGCACACCGACGGTCACAAATGCGGATCGCCAATCACGAATGAAGCGCTCGGTTCCGGCGTTGAAAATGGGCTTGGAGCTCAAGGCTTTGGCGCGCGTGCGGTAGATCTGGAGCTTCTTAGTATTGTGCTTATAGAGGCTTTCAGATTTTATAAACATACCAGTTCATCGTTGAGAATAATCTTGCAATAGCTCGTAGGCAGGTGACTGCCCTCTTCCTCGGTGTTGTCGCCATACGGTTTGGCTGGCTCGTACTCGCGACCCTTGCGGTTACCCTCGCTTCCCTTGACATTGTTGATCTCCAGGTTGACAATCTGATGGACGATAATGCTAATGATACCGCTGGGCCACAGAGGATCAGGAGGAGTGTGAGTGATGGCGTCCTCCTCCTCGCTGCTAATGACGCCCTTCTCGTCCTGGAATTCTTGAACATCTTTGAACTGCTCGGGAAGGTCCTTCTTCTTGCCGTCGGTGCGCAGCTCAGCCCTGAGTTTCGGTTTGCCAAAAAAGCCCACTTCCCAGTGCAGCTCTCCGGGCATCTCGCTGCCTTCGTTCAGACCCTGTAGCTTGGAAACCTGCGCATACATCTTGCCAGGATGCTGGATCATCTTCCGAATCGGAAGTTCCACCTTGCCGACGATGTCATCGGCAGTCGTGCGGTCCGAGTCCCAGAGTTCAACGCTCAGACTTTCATCCGCCTTGATAAGCTCAGGAGTAACCAGCAAGGCGGCAGTTTCCTCCCAGACTGGATTCAGGTCGTCCGTTATCACACGGGTGCAGTACATGGGCTTGCCATACTTCGAGAAAGACAGGTTGATGTAGGGGTCGCTGCCACCACCGTAGCTGCCACGCCGATCTTGCTTGCTCAGACCAATTGCGCGGTGGATACGCACCCACATGACACCCAAGGTCTGCGTCTCCTTGACGATATCGTCACCCTTGAGCAGCATGCTAAGATCCATGGTCATAGACTTGGGGGCTGCGAACAAACCGGCAGCTGTGGCAATGGCATAATTGACAAAGTTGGAGATCAAGGGCAGGTTGAGAATGTTCACTCCTCCTTTGACCATTGGCATACATCCAGCCTTGACGTGTGGGAGGCCAACCAAGCTGAACGTCACGTCCTTCACAAAAGGAGCCTCTGGCATCATCTGAAATCTTGCACGCACAGTGCCCACCAACTCAGTCAATTCCACAAAGACAGGGAACGGTACTCCAAAGAGGCCTTTGACTCCGAGGTAGAACACAATCTGCATGTGCATGTTGCGCGCCTTGGACGAAGTAGTCTGGCCACTTGGCTTGGCATGGTAGGCAAAGGATGCTTCGATATTGTAATAGTCGCCACCTTCCTCTGCGGCGGCAGCTTCCTGGGGGTCTTTGTTCTTTACATTGTCCTCGTGCACTTGTTCCTTGAGCTGCTTCACATGATCATCGGGCAGTGCGCGAAGACTCAAAATCCGAATCGGGTTGTTGCCCTGGTCAATTTCTGCGATGCGGACATTCTCGACCACCCCCGGCGCCGAAGCTTGCATAATGTCTTCAATGGTGTCGGCGACGGGAGATAGCATTTCGGGATTGATCAAACCCCAAAACACCCCAAGGAACGAGTTCAGCCATTCAACGGATTCCGGAAGAAGATTGGCGGTCGCCTGGTCCTCTCAAGTCAGTATTTTCACTTGACACTACACAGATGCGAACGTTCTCATACCATTTGGCCCCGGATCTGCTCACTACTCCATTCCATTTCCCGACCACTGCGAATCACCTCCTGCACCCACAGCCACACACCACTCGCGATGCAGAAACTGAGGGGAAGTAGACCCCATAGCGATCCATTGAAGATCCGACCCAAGAAGACAATACCCGCCACTATACCCAGACATAGTCCAATTCCTCGTCGTTCCAGCTGATCGAACATCGGCTTATAAGTGACCGTAGGGGTGGGGTGGAACAGAACGTTGGTTTTCTCGCCGTGGATAGGAACATCGGAAGTGGTGCCCTCTGCGATGGGATCTGGCGGTGCGGTGATATCCTGGTTCTCCTTATATTGTGAAAGGCTCTGGTCTGGGGCCGTTTTGACCTCCTGCACTGGTATCAGTATTTGCATCCTTCGCTGCAATTGGGGTGTAACGCACCGTTGGTTTTCCGAGGTTGGCATTAGGGACTACGAGCTGTAACAGAAGTTAGAGAGACATCTCCTCGCCTTTGCTAACCGTACAAGCGAGGCATACCCTGGGATCTTTCACCGCATCCATTGAGTCTTCATCCAAGTCTTCCACCTCGATCTCCTTGCCCGTGGTAGGATCGGTGACCATGCGCGTCTTTCCGGTGGTCTCCCGGGGCTTGTGAGGCATCTCCTGGTTCTGAGCCTCGCGCTCCCGCTTCCTGGCCGCCAGGGTTTCTTCATGAGCCTTGCGTTCCTGCTTGTCATGCTCCAAACGGTCCATGAAATGGCTGATGGTCGGGACCGGGTTGCCCCCGCTCCAGTGTTCTCCCATGCGATGGGTTTTGGGAGATTCCCTCCCGCTGGTAGCCTGGGCCATGGTCGCGTGTCTTGCTTTTGCTCCTGTGTGCTCTATAAGTTGTATGGAATCGCGGATCAATCGGGGATTGTGGACGAAATAAGAGGAGGCTGGTTCCAGGCTATCATCCCCTAGCTTATTCCAGCTAGACCTGTAGGTGATTGAACCTAGAGTAGAGAATATAGTTATGGAAATGCAATGAGGAAGAGAAACCAAGGTAAACTCAACGAAGAGTAGCAAGCGGCGGTGGTAAAGAGGTGAAGAGGTGAAGTCACCTTCGCGCTGCACTACGTCATAGTGGAGAGAAGCAGCCAAGGCCGATCAGCCAATCGATGGGCGACGCGTCCGGGCATATGCTGGATATTTTTGGAGAAGGCCAGCCTTACTGCCCACCTTCCCGGGCGGGGGGGAGAACCAGATCAGTCTCCATTCACTGTGGTGCATGGTGGTAGTGATGACAGCTCTCTCTACCTTGCTTGTTTACCTTCGAAGTGTCTCTCTTGCTCCGTCATGGCTCTCGGCGGAAGGCTGGGCTTGGCGCGAGAGCGGACTGCCTCCGGTCGAGTAGTAAAGAGAGAACCATTGAGGAGTGGTTTGATAAGAACTCATTGTATACTACGAGATTAAGAGCGCACTGAGGTCTCATGCGCTGCTATATTCCGATACTGATTCTGGGATATAGGTGTAGAGCATCGAGAGACGATAGGCAATTGACAAGGATGCCTCTGCTCGTGCATTGTCCTGGACAAACAACCAGACAACATGATGTCACTTCCCGCTCGCTCTCTCTGTGCTGACATCGGATCAACATCATCTTCACCATCTCTGTCCGACCCATTGCAGACACGGATTGGTGGCTTGGTATTGCTTGGCATTTGGATCATGGAGTGTTGTGAGGTCTGGTGCAAGGGTGAGTGCGTTTACATGCGAATGCCACCGTCAACGGTTGGTTGCATGCTGATTGCCAGTATCAGCGTACAAAGCGGTTATCACTATGGTAGTTTCGGATCATTTAGCACTTGCTTGATCTAGGCCTTACAGATATTGTCAAGCCTTGTAGATATTATAGACGAGAGCTGAGTCATCGCTGTTGTATCTCCGCGCGACAAGTAGGATAGTAGTAGTATTCCATAGTCTTCATAGTTTGTTGTTGGCCATGGTTCTAGATCCTCTACGGATTCGAACCCATCCATAAAACATGTTTTATGCCAGGTCAATGCTCACCATTTGCCGTCGAGGAGGATAAAACGCCGCCTGCAGGCCAGTCCTGCGTATTGTTGGTCGAGACCGGGGAAGACGGCCGAGCGAGACGGGCTCCACCGCCCGCCAATGAGACTGCCGCTTCTACGGCGCCGACGTGACCTCTCGGCTTCCATCATCATTCAACTTCAACCAACGATTTGGTATACGCCAGCCTCGACTCGATCTTGGGTCTACTTTCCTACCTCAGTGTTCCAGGACTACTACGACTGTATACGAGAACTAAGACAATCTGACACATCCTCACTGAGTCAAGCGACGAACGGCCAGACTGAATAGCAAACGCTCAACGATCGATCACCCACACAAACAACAACCATCACCACCATCACCACAACACCTCCTATTTGCGGTGTTACAGCCCGTCTCAAAATGTCCTCTACAGCCGAGGAGTCCCCGGCTCAGCGAGCTGCTCGCCTGCGCCGTGAGCGTCGCGAAGCCAAGATCAAGGAAGGAGGTGCCGCTCGTCTCGAGAAGATCACCAGTTTGAGTGGACGACCCCCGGCCAGCGGTATGTAGCTATTTACCACCGTCACACCCTACCCATAGCTTTCGACACACACAACAAAGGACATAGCTAAGCTGACACTCCCCAGTCCACGGGGAACCCTCACCATCGCCCAGCCCGCAACCCGAATTCCTATCACAACACACAGCACCACCGCCACCAGCGCCAGTCTTTCCGACCACAGCCCCAACCCCGGCCCAATCCCAAACCCACCCTCCCACCTTCCCCGACCACTCCCAGGCGGAACCCGAACTCGACCCCGAGACCCTCCAAGCCCAACAAGAACTCTTCCGTGCTCTGCTCCGCCAACCGGCGCCCTCGCCCAACCCACAACAGCAACTCCGCGGTCCCGGCGGCGCTGCCGCCCCCAACCCAGCCGGCGACCTGCTCGGCCTCGACGCGCAAGACCCGACGCTCAAGCTGCTCAACTCCCTCATGGCCTCTAGCTCCGGTGGCGGCGGCAGCGGCAACCCGCTCGAGAACATCAACCTGGCGGACCTCGGCCTCGGCGACGGCAAGGAGTCGTCCACCGACCTGCTCACCAACCTGGGCCTGCCGCCGTTCCTGGCCAACCTGATCGGCAACGCCATGCGCAAGAAGACGGACGCCGAGAAGCGCGAGATCATGGTCTGGAAGGTGGTTCATCTGGTCTTCGCCGCCGTCGCGGGGCTGTACCTGCTCTTCGTGCTGGGGTCGGCCGTGAGCGTGTACGGGCGGGCGCCGCCGGCGCCGGCGACGGCCCGGGATCCGTTCACGGTGTTCATGACGGGGGAGGTGGTGTTGACTGGCGCCCGGGCGCTGTTGCGGTCGCGGGAGCAGGGGGGCGGGGTCGGGTTGGGGATGGGGGTGCAGCTGGTGCGGGATGTGATGCGGGACGGGAGCTTGGTGGTGTTTTTATTTGGGTTGGCGTCGTGGTGGTATGGAGAGAGATTGGTCTGAACTACTCGTTTGTGGCAAAAGACGTTCTGGGATATAGGCTAGAATGACTAGAATTGTGGATAGTCTGCATACACGTGTGTGATCACTTAAATGGACAGTGAGTATCGTGCACCCTGGTCGAATCGAAGCCATAAGCCATATGAGAGCACTACTGCTGCCACAGACCGGTCTTGCGAGTGGCTACTCCCCTAACCACGCTGTCCACCACTACCTATTAACCGATAGGTTAGTGTAGCCCATGTCTCCGACACTAGCTGCCTAGTGCTCATGCCAGGTTCACTGTATACAGGGAGTAATACAATTACATCCCGTCCAGAACCCGAACCTCCAACGGTCCCCCCACCCGGCAAACCAAGTATCTAATCTAAACCCCGTTCCCTTCCCTTTCCCGCAGGCAAATCCACCGCAGAACTTATTGATCCTGCACCGACCACCATCAAACCAATCCTTAGTCCTTACCATGTGCATCTCCCCTTATTGCAAATTGCATCCAGGCTAGAGCATGCACTTTCCACCCCTGAGACTCCCAGACTAGCACAGTACACCCACCCCAGGAGTCCTGGACAGTGGACAGTGGACAGTGGACAATGGATGGTACGCTCAACAGCAGCAGGAAATACTCGTAAGACAATCAAACTAACAATCGAACTACCTAGTAAAGCCCTAGACTACCTAGACTACTGTAGCCAACACACACACACACACACACACACAACCCCACTCCTCCCGCCCCGCCCATGGGGATATCCAGCCAGCTCCGTCAACTGGACCTGGAACACACTCAACAGAAATACCGCATTGGCTACGAGCCTACGAGCACACACTAACAACTTCCAATCCAGCCCCTTTGAATCAGATCCGCCCCGCCCACCAACCAAAAGCAACCCGGTAGGTGGCCGGCGAGGAGCCTCGAGCGTAGTGCCTTTCACGTTTCGGCTGCGGACACCGGACCACACAGCCGGTCGCGGATGTGGGAGGAGGGGGGTAATAAAGATGATCATGCTTAGTCTGGTACTAGCAAATTAGTCCATGGTGAAGCGGAAGCGGATGGTACATAGTAGAAGCGGAACTTGGCTTAGCTACGGCGTGGCACGTATAGATATAGATCGGGACCTGGCCGAAGCAGGCAGGTCCTTCCTCGGTCGTCAGCCGTCACAACTTTCGTTCGTTGAGGGAGATTTTGACGTGGCATGGTTTGGGAGTTTTCTGTCAGATTGGCTTGTCTCCATTCAGTGGGGGGGGGGGAAGTCCGTGCTAGAAACCAAGAGAGTGGCGATCATTTCAGTTGTTGATTTAGACTAAGTAACTTACGGAGTAGACTCAGTAGTATCCGGTGTGGGGAGTTGGTGCTTTCCGGTGGAGGATTTAGCCATGCATAACTGCTCCACTGCGCATACTGAAGCACCACAGTTGATAAACAGTGGACTCTGCTTGCTCTACTGCACTGTTCACTGTCCCAAAATTTAAGGTGACATTAGTCTGGTGGGAATATTGATGTGATGTACATCTAAGAGTGTGGCCAGGAAGAAAGAAATATGTACATACGGTACTGTACGAGAGTCGACCTTTTTCGAGGACCACAACCCAACTGCTGCGTGGGCCAGTCCATTGGGCCAGAGGGGAGAACGACGCTGTCAAGCCTTCAACCATTTGTTGTTCCAGGACTGATCAAAAGTGTATAGGTGGAACCGCTCTGGTGCAGGACGTAACACTCAAGGGACGCCGTAAATGCCAACTTAAACCCCATTGCTGTTGCTGTTCCAAATCAAAAAGGTGCTGCCGCTTTAAATGTGAGCGAACTGTGGAGAATCTTGTTCCTGGCGCGCCTGGAGCACACGGATCTATTCCCAAAGCACACGCACCTGGAAAACTTCCGGTCGCTCCCGAAGGGCCCGGGCTCGCTCGCTGCAGTCGCTTAGACCGTGCGCAGCTAGTTGACCCAAGCTCTTCTAGATCTGGGATACAATACATTTACAACATAAACCCAGCCATGGAATGTAAGGCGTGGAGTTACCAACCATGGCCCTGGATTTGCTCTCAGTTCCGACTGCAGAATGTATTCAGGGCTCTGCTAATTCTCTACTTGCGCTTCAATCACTAACCGATGGACTAGTTTTGATTGAGATGGTTATAGATATGTCGTTTCCTTGGCGAGTCATGAGTATCGAATCCCCCCCCCCCAAACAACCGTTCACCACTCACTATGTTCGCATGATCTGAATATAAATTCCGAACTGGTGGCTTACAATAGAGCAATCTGTGATTAAAAAAGTAGTAGCCTACGCTAAGCCTTCAGGAAAGTATCATAGTATAAAAGCCGAGCTTAGGGCTGCAGTTTTGTTGTCCTACACATGTAAACCCCGCTGGAAGTTTAATTGAGCTAAGTTAGAATCCCAGCGTAAATTGAATTCGTCTGACTATCTAGCTCTAATAAGCAGCAAAGAGTAAAGAGGTCGTCCAAAGGCTATAAAAATCAGGAGTCCGATCTGACGAAATCAATTGCTCCTAAGCCTCATCCCCGTATATCGAAGCACCGAAAAGTCAATCTCCATAAATCGGCAACTACATCTGCTCAAACCACCCCAGGCAGACGTTATCACAAATAATCCCTCGTCCGCTCCTCACACCACTCCCAAAACTCCTTCGCCCGCCCGGAGCCCCCCTCCTCCTCCGCCGCCAAATGCCGGGCCAAGCCCGGCGCCACCCCCGGATGGATCCGTCCCCAGGGGATCACATACGCGCCGTTGTTCTCGGGGCGGTCGAGCTCCTCGGCGAGCGCCGCGTACAGCACCGTGGTCGCCGCCAGCGCAGGCTTGTGCAGCAGCGGCCACGAGAGCAGCTTCATCCACCGCGCGTTGCGGAGCAGGTCCGTGTTGGCGGCCCCGGGGTTCTGGGCGACGCTGACCAGGCGGCCGCTGCCGGTGGACGAGGTCGTCGCCATCGCCGACGCCGACGTCGAGCTGCTCCCGTAGCGACGAGCGAACTCCACGCTGAGGAACCAATTGCCCAGTTTGGAGGTCACATAGTTCCGAACGGCATCGCGCGGCGGGTGCTGCAGTTCCGAGAGCACGATGCCTTCAGGTGGCGCGGAGAGTTCGGCGACTTGGCTGCTGGTCCAGACGACGCGGGGGGCACTTGGTTTCGAGGGGAAGTTGGGATCGGAATCTGCTGCTGCTGCTGCTGCCTTAAGGTACGGAAGGAGGAGCTGGGTGAAGAGAAACGGGCCCAGGCAGTTGGTCGCGAGTTGGAGCTCGATCCCTTGGGCTGAAACGCTGCCCAGCGGCGGCTGCGAGACCCCTGCATTGTTTATCAACAGATCCAATCGGGTTTCTCGGGCGGCAAAGGTTTCGACGGCGGATTTGATGGTGGTCAGGTCTTCGAGATGGAGCGGGAGGTAGTGCAATTGGCCTTTCGTCTTAGTTGTAGCAGTAGCTTGGATATGGTCGATGGCTGCCTGGGCTTGGGATTCCGATCGACCCGCTATGTAAACCGTGGCTCCTTTGCTATAAAGCATGCTCACGAGCTCCAATCCAATCCCTGAGGAACCACCGGTCACGATAATGATTTTTCCTTGCTGCGAGGGCACGTCGGCCAGAGTGAAAGTCGGACGTGGGGGGAAGAATTGCGAGAATTGGACCCCCATCTTTTTTTCTTGTTGTGGTGAAATATGGTCTTGTTTTCTTCGGTGCGGTTAAAAAGAAAAGAAAAGAAAGAGATGGTCAGGACGCAGTCATGTAGTGTGGGATTAGAGAATATTTAAAGTAGATACAGCGACGGCGGCGCGACTAGGGCTTATGTACTATTGACTTCCTTCCTTCCTCCCCCAGTAAATTACTAGTAGTTCAAGTACCCTTACTAGTACGGATATTAGCGGAGGTTAGTACCATATGATTCTTTGTTTATTCAGGCTTTCACTTCCCCCTCCCCTTTCCGACATCCAACATTTTCCATATCACAATTAGATAACATTCACTCGGATAAATGACATACTCCCCCAACCCTCAAAATTGATCTATACTTGGTACCGCGGACAGTAGATACTCCAGACCAAGTTCCCCACGTGACTGTGACGCCTCCAGGTATGCCAGCGTGTTGCGCGACAGATGCAAATGGCGGCGCGCCGCCTCGACGATCCCATCAAACTCGGCGATGTAGCGCCGGATCTCGGCCTCACACATCGCCAGGGCGGCCGCCTCGGACCGGCAATTCCCATGGGCGTCGCCCTCCTGCATGATGACCCATACGGCGTTGAAGACATAATCCACGCCTGCCAGCTCGGCAACCACCCGCTCCTTCTTCCACGAAAAGAGATCGTTGGTGAGGCTGATCGCCGCGTGTCCTGGCCGGGCCAGCTTCATGCAGACTTGCAGCTCCTCGTCCGGGATCGTCAGCCCCATCCCGAAGGTCAACGTGCCGAACCAGATCCTGCATGTTTTATCCCCGGTGTTAGTTGCAGACATACGTACACACAGAGAGAGAGAGATGAAGGGGTAGTCTGCTCAACTTACAGCTCTCCTGCATTGATAATCGCATAGGTAAGTACTCGGCTAGCGTTTCGGCGGGACGGACGCGACTGCGCGAGGCCAGCTGGAGGAAGGTCGACCACGCCTTCATGGAGGTGACGGCCCGCGGCTTGTCGATGGTGAGAATCTCCTGGAAGACTTGCGCCTGCAGCGCGTTCGCTCGCGAGGCTGTTGTTATGGTTGTGGTGGATGAGGATGCTATTGCGGAGGATGAGGATGCTATTGCGGAGGATGAGGATGGCTGCTCTCTTTGGTTGACACCGAATGAATCGACCATCTCATTCGATCGAGTAGGATCCTGATGGGAGCCGTGCTTTCTTTAGTCTCTCTCACCTTTCTGCTCTGCTCTGCCTGGGGGGTCCAGTAGGCATACGCAGTCATGATCGATCAGCTTCTCCATTACATCTAAATCATGGTTGATATCAGTATGCGAATCTTGCGAAAGCGAGACAGAGGCAAGAATGCGGGAGGAAGCTTACCGTCATAGAGGAAAGCAAACTCATTCGTATAGGAGATGACCTCGAGACGCTCCGGCAGACACTCGGGGACGGTCACCTGCATGACGCTGTACCGGGGGCCCAGTCCGCCGTGGTAGCGGTCAATGGGCCCGACGAGCCGGTTCCATTCCGTTCGCCAACCCACGGTCGTCGTAGGTATTGGGCTCCTCTAAATATGAAAACTGATACTTCATTCTGGACGGGACACAAAGAAACCAAAAAAAAAGGATTTTGTGGGGCTTGCTGTGTGAGAGACAGGGTGAGGGGCAGTCCCGGCTTCTATATCTATATTCTAAGAGGGGATAAATTGGTCAATCTGAATGGCAATGATAGACAAAGACATACACTCACAGAGAGAGGACCTTCGCTTGGCCAGAATAAGGAAGGATACCCCTCAATTGCCGTTTTATGTCTTCCTTCTTCTCACCAGATGTCCAGCAGCAGCACTATGAGCCTCATACCCCCTCCTTTCACCTGAGGGCCGAATACCCTGATCGATCAGACAAAAGTTCACGACCGTTTTAGAATAGTCCAAACATCTCCTTCAATTACGATGTCAGGCCATAGTCAAGGCAGTTAATGTCCGTAAGTACAGTACACGGCCACCGGCACCTGGAAAAGCATTTCCCCTATCGATTTTCTGTAGAGGAGTTGAAAAATATGCTCGTCGCGCAGAGCCTGGATCTGCATTGGGTCCAACACGCGACACCACCGATTCGCAGGAATATCTACAGATGATTGACGGTAGTACGTTTGTCCCACTGCAACCCTGAATGCGCATACATCCCAACCCCCCCCCCCCCCCCCCTTTTCCCTTTGACAATCACCCACTGGCTCTGTATCATCTGTTTGACAAGAACAATAACGACAAAACAGAAACGGGCGCCCTCTTCCGCCTCATCGCCCGCCTAATGATCGCCCAACAATCCCCCACCAGTCCCACCAACCCCTCCCATCTCGACCGCCTGATGATCCTATCAGAAGATTCTTCCAGATCCGCGATGATTATGCGAACCTTGCAATGGACCAGGTTTTTCCCTAAAGCACAAACCTCTCCAGCCCTAACGCTCCCTGCCTCTTTCCCACCCACAACCAACATAATCACTAATCACTAACCCCAAACCACAAAACCAATACCAAGACAGCAAAGGCTTCTGCGAGGACCTCGACGAAGGCAAATGGAGCTTCATCCTCCTGCACGCGCTGGCGCACGCCACGCCGCCCACGCGGATGGTGCTGATGAACGTGCTGATGCAGCGCCACGCGACGGGCTGCGCCGGCCGCGGCCACAAGGAGCTCGTCCTCGACATCTTCCGGCACGAGACGCGGTCGCTCGCCTGCACGACCGAGGCCCTCTGGGTGCTGGACCAGCAGATCGAGTTCGAGATCCAAGCGCTCGCGCGCGCCACCCTCACCGCCAACCCCGTTCTCTGGAAGATGGTGCGCAGCTTGCAGGTGGGGTTGACGCCTCCCGATGGGTATGGCTTTAAGGAGGTGGGCGGCGGCGCCGGCGCGGTTGGCGGGGGGCGGGGGGGATATCTGAGGGGGTGCTGGGGTTGTCGTGTTAAGGGCTTATGCGAATGGGCTTTGGGTGGAAGCTGAAGCTGAAGCCTTTTTTGGGGGGGGGGGGTTTATTTTGGTCTGGATTTTGGGGCTTGCGGTTTGAGGGCGGTGTTAAGATCCTGCTTATGTCTGTCACTTTTTCTACTTGAGACATGGGTATGTGCGGCTTTGTTGGAAGATACTTTATGTTATTTGGAGCAACCCCGCGATTGCGCGAGTTAACGTTCGCCCTCGGCTTACGACATAGCATGGTTAACTCTCATTGATTCGAGGCGTATGTACTTTGCTGTAGATTAGAGTACTCTTCCCTCACAGTGACAAATATGCCAGTATAGATGCAATTGTTTTCAACATCTAACACAACAGTCAGATCTGCGCCAGCAGTCATTTTCGTGATATGAATAGATAGTCAGCTAGGAAGCGCAGCGCAGGGGGGGGAGTACCAACAGTGATTTTCTCAATCATTAGGTGGGTAAGTATGAGTAAGTGAATATATATATATATATATATATATATAAGTCTATGTATGTGCGTGTGTGTGTAGATCTGTCTATACGCGGTGTTTTTACCATATCAGTCCGTTCCACACGTCATATTCCTCCGTTGTGTTAAACACTATAGCGGACAATACAACGTCACCCACTATAATCTCCGAGACCTTGGTGCTCTTACGCTACACTGCCGAAGCCTTTCTCTTGAATCTTTACAGAAAGGGGGCCTATGCTCGAGTGTGTTTTTGTAAAGGCGCATGAAGTTTGAATCAGTCTGCGAGACCTCCTGTATGGATAAACTACCTACCTATCCAGTACTGAAAGCTATGGGTGGGTTGAACTCGATATTGCACTATGACACAATAGCACCGGACATCCAGACATTTTCTTTGTCCAGACTATGTTGGATATTACCTTTGCCTGGAATGTTGACTTGTGGCTTGTGACCGCTCTGCAATATGCCATATAGAATTTCTGTAGGTGTGTTTTTCTGTAGATTGGTTTTATATCGGGCGCATCGGATATATACTTCTGACAGACTGGTTTATGGTATCTGGGAACTTTTTTTGTTTCTCTTCTACACCCTATGGACGGACTGTTTCTTTTTTTTTCTTGGTGAATAGACAATCATGGACATGCTCCTCGTAGATAAATATGGTCGGTACCGGGAAGTTAGGGTAGAGTGGCTATCGAGTATTCTTCAGACTTAAGCCACGAGTGCTGAGAACAAGTTAAGACTCATATCATCGAGTGCCTTGGGATATGATCATGTTCACTTTCGGGCTTAAGAAGATAATCAATTCCAGTAGGGCTGGATGTTTTGGGATAGTTGTGCACAGTTTTGTTGTGTTGCGGTCACATGACTAGTATATGCTAGCTCAGGTCACCATTGCTTCCCGGGAGGGGGATTCGCCCAGGACACGCACTGTTGTGCTCTCTCCACGCCCCGGGGCCGCGCAGTGGGCCAAAAGCGGCGTCAATTCGGGCCCACTGTAGTAGAACAGAATGGGAAAGTGACTTCCATCACTACTGCACTGATCACTGATGAATACCGCAGAGATCCAATTCGGTATTGCCTCCTATTGATGGGAGGAGCAGACCCCTGGAAATACCAAGACCTGTATCAGCTTTCATGGTTTTCTGAGACTCAGAATGATTTCCTGCCATTAGAATCACTGCCCTTAACTCTGGTGACACTTCTGGTTTAATTATATATCAGGTGAATTTGGCACGATTCTTGATCTGAAATGATTATTTCTCGCCTATGCTCCCAGAAGACGCACCTCAGCAGCCGGGCTCACTCCACGATCAGGGAATGTTCAAGTCACTTAGCGGCGGCGGCGGCGGCACTCAGGCCGAATCCGGAAAGAGAAGCCATCCACTCACTACTGCAGTGGCATCTCCCCACTGACCACCCGGAGTGGTTCCGCCAAGATTTTATATGCGATGGTCGAGATGAATTCGCTCTGGTTTGTGCTTGGTGCTGCTGATCATGGGGGTACCGGTTCTCGATTCTGATTGCGTTGTTTAGCCGTGCTGGCTAGTGACTGGCACTGTGACACCCGCGGGACCCTCAGTGGATGGGGAAAGAGACAACATTTCGGACGACGGACAGAGAGAGAGTAGCATAAAATGTGGGGAGCTGCGCCAAATGAATGAATGGCTTAGACTCAAATCCGCAACCGGTTGCGAAACACCGGATCAATGTCGAATGTTGATGGGAGGATCCAACTGGAGGTTTCAAGGTCACTGAGGCAGCAGTAGAGGAAAAAGAAAAGGAATCAGAACGAAGAAATGGAATGAGGATTGGTCCGGGTTCAATAGTGGCCGGTTAAGAATGAGCTGGGTTGAACGCGTTCACGGAAAGAAAGAGTGAGTGACCGACCGAACGACCGACCGACCGACCATCCCCAGAGTCGCATAGTTTCCCACCTCGCGCCGCTGTTCCTGAAAATCACCCTCCCACAGTCATCCAGAGTTGCCGTCAGTCAATCCAACAAACGTTGCCAGTATAGAAGAGAATCAGCGCCCCCCGGTTATTCGGTTCAGAGGTCTCCTGTTCTCCGCCCGAAAGTGCATAGTACTGCGACAGAGCCAGGGCCACGGAGACAAGGAGAGAGCCCCATAAAATAGCCGAACCGAAAGGCAATGGCCGCGATCGACCCGAGAGTCCTACGAGTATTGTATCATGTATGACGAGTACCAATTGGCCTGTATGGCTGATCGACAAGGGCAATCTGGGCACCTGAAGGTCATTGTTCTGATAACGCCTACCTAGGTTATCATCGAGCACTGTCCAAGGGAACCACGGAGCCCTGCCTCGGCAAGTGGACGAGGAGTCGTTCGTATAGTTCCTTCCCCCCCCCCCCCCCGGGCCAGAATGGGAGAGTCCTTGGTGTGACATGATATCCAGACTATGCTTGAGATCGGTGAGCCTCAAACGCACGTGTGTTGTTCATCGCCTTACATCCTCCCGCTCAAATCATCAACCCTTCTCTTGAATCACGAACAGTAATAAAGTTAGACTTAGGCTACCTACCTAGTCTAGGTGGTGGTAACCGCCTCGTGCTCGGAATATCCGGGGCGGTAACATTTCCTAGTTAGTCTTTGGTTCTGTCTTCTGTCTGTCTTATGATACCCCCCCAGGCCGTCCCTCTGTCCGCAAACAGATACATCTCGAAAGATGCCACCAAGGCATTCCAGGTGGGCGCAGCGCTCCCCAGCAATCGAAGAGATAGATTACTTTCACCTCCAGTAAGGTTTTTGAGTTTGATCCCCCGCACGGCACAAGCGAGCTCTATTAGTCATTTACGGATTACCCTCCAATCGAGGCCGGGGTGGCGGTTCTTGTGATGTTACCTCCCCGCGCTCTTTCCGCTGACGGGCTGTCTCGGATTCCTGGGCTGCTCAAATGAGTGCTGGGGTCACTCATTCCCTTCGTGTTCGGGGGACTTTGAACTACTTAGTTATAGTGAAGCCGGAGGGAATGGGACCCTGGAAAAAGGCGAGT